GTCCGACTTATCAAACGTTCCTTTTACGGCTTTTCATGTCGAGTCCTCGGGCTCTGTGCCTTTCCTTCACCCCAGCTTGATTTCCTGGCCAGGTCGCTGCACAACAGCCGCAGCCTTGTCTGGGGGACAACTGCTGTCGGGGAGAAGCACCAGCGCCCCGCTTCCGTCCCGGCTTCTCATGGCTTCGCTCCCTTCTCACCCCACAGCTTTAAGGAGGACTTTCTTTTCCATGTTTTCTGTGGGATATTTATAGTGGAAGCATTGTCCCGAATGATCTCATTTGCCTTGTGCTCGGGAGAGGAAAGCAGGCCGTTGCTTCTTGGCAGAAGCTGTGGCAGAAGCTGTGTCCCATGCCTCCCCCACCTGTGGCCTGCGGGGACTTCTTCCTGCGTGGCTGCAGTGGGTCCACTGTCCACAACCGCACTTTTTTTGTTTTTCTTGACTCAGGGGTGTGTGTGCGTGCGTGCGTGCGTGCGTGCGTGCGTGCGTGCGTGTGTGTGTGTGGCTGAAGGAGCAGGTGGTTTTGTAGACTCTGCAATCAGTGGTCATGTCTGGGAGACAAGAGTCACCTCTCAGAGTGACCCTGTCACCAAGACAGGAGTCCTTCTTGTTCTTGAGCAGAGCAGACCCGAGTCCACACCGCCTGTCTTGCTCTTGTGCCACTCATAAGTGCAAGTCAGTGTCAGATTTCTCAAATCAAGAGAGATGCATGCGGTTCACTAGAGATTCTAGACAACCAGGAAGCCAGATCTGCTTGTAACACCAGGACTCAACCATTAATATTTCTTCGTATTCTTTTCTTAAATTAAAAAAAATTTATTTTAAAGAGAATAAAACCCAACAAAACAAAACAGATTGAAGCCAATCAAAACAAAGCAGTGGAAGTACTACAGAACTTTGAAGCAGGATCCGAGGAAATCAACAATGGCCACCGTAATGTATCTTCACAACAGTTGTCCACCCATCAGATAGAGTAAAATCAAATAATCAGAATAAAGCCAATCAAAAGAGAACACTGAATAAAACAAAACAATGGATTGGAACAAAAAAACACGGAATAACACTGGACTTGAAAAACAAGCCAGAAAGAAATCCCACATTTGCTATATTGTTACTCTTCTAAACTCACTGATATTCTTTAACCAAATGCGTTTTCTTGTCCCCTGAAGCAGCACAGGAGCGGTTGCCAAGCCGTGGTCAGGGAGTGCTGCTTCCAGTTGCTGGCCGTGCTCCAGCAGGTCTGATAAGTGTGGGCCAGAGCTGCGGCCACTTTGAGGGTTCCCAGGGTCCCCGTGAATCACTTTCTCTTCGTTGTGTCCAGGGGAGGATGAAAATCTCACTGTTGTCTATGTGGGGAAGCAATCTGTTCTGCCTGCGGTGCACAGCAGGCCTGGGGACGTCACCCCACCCGCCACCATTGGAGACTAAGCCAGGGCCTTCGCACTGAGTTACAGCCTTGGCCCTTTTATTTTATTTTAAGACAAGATCTCAGTAAATCACTGCCTCAGCCTTCCACAGCGGTGGGATGACAGCTACGTGGCACCACGCCGAGCTACTTCCCATTTCTTCTGGGGTTCTCAGGACACTGCCCACCCAGCTCTACTGGTCACTGCTAACCGGAATCTCTTGCCTGGTAACTGGATTTCACTTGTGCAGGAACCTCTGGTTAGAAAGGATTAACTGACCCACAGGGTGAGAGCCAGTGGCAGCTAAAGAAATGCTAAGTTTCTTTATGCATAAAGACACTACCCACATCAACCTGATAAAACAAGGTGCTGTTGGTAGTGTAAAGAACATTTAGCTTTTAAACTTTGCTGTTAGATCTGGGCATTGCCAGTCTTTGTTAGTAAGACCGTGGCTCTGGGGCCATCCGTTGCCACCTTCTCATTGTCCTTTGTGGCCTGCTGCCTCTTGGAGACTGGGGCCCCAGCCTGGTCTTTTTCTAGGGCCCTGTGTGCTCTGGTTCCTGTGCAGATATTTCCCTCTCTGTGGGAACCGGGTGTCCGTCCCTGTCATCCCTTCCTCTAAGCAGCCCCGGAGCCTTCCCTGTATGGCTTGGATGTGGTTCTCTTGCCCACATCCTGCCCACATCTGGAGAGAAGCTTTTCCTGGACTGCAGTCTCAGATGCTGGCTGCTTCCCCTATGTGCGGTTGCCATGGTGGATACACTGTGTCAACCTGAGAAGTCTAGAAGCCTAACTGACTCCTAGCTCTCCATCCCAGGTGCACAGGACAAGCCCTCCCATTCTAGGATACTGTTTATTGTGTCAATTTGAGAAGCTCAGAGGTTTCACTAAGTGACTCATCAGGGGGCCAGGGTCTCTAGTTTGTAACATCCTCAGCCTGTGCAGGAGGAGGGCAGGCGGATGGTGAGTGCTACACCCACCCCAGGGGAGCAGCCTGACACAGTGAAGGCAGACAGGAGGGCCTGAGTGCTGGGTCTCTGGAGGAGCTCCAGCCTCCGCCTTCAGCTGGAAGGAGGTCTCCTGGCTTCTGGTACAGATTCTTTGGCTTCCAAGGATTCTTCATCCTTGGTTGTAGACTCTTCAGCCCTCCATCGTAGATTCTTCAGGATCCATCGTAGACCCATTGGCCTCCTGATGGACTTGCACTGGACACTGCAGTAATCTCCGCCCTTGGGCTGGGCCCTTCAGCCTCCAGCGTGCAGACACCATCTGCACGCTCCCTCATCCGACTTTGTGGCTGAGCATTGTGAGCCAGCTTTGTAACTTATGCATTTGTGTATCTTGTGTTTGTCTAGTAAGCCCTGACTGACACATGTGCTGTGTCTTCCCTCAGATAGCTGTTTGGGTAACCTGAGGAGACTCCCCTGAGGACGGTGACCTTAGACCATGTGTAGTGAGTGCCCCAGCCTCTAGGCATCAGAGTCCTGGATGTGGGTTGGTAGACGAACCGTGTTCCTAGCATCGCCTCCCCTTTCTCCTTCCGCTCTGACCTAGACCCTTTACTGTGCTGGCGGGGAAGGTGCGGGGAGGTGCTCCACAGAGCCAGAAGGACAGCTCCTGTCTTTTGCGACGTGGCCTTCCGGCCTGGGTGTAGAGATTTCCCCTCTCACAGCTGCCAGGCCGGTGGCACCAGCATACTTGTTCTCACTCATGCAAATGTGTTGCTTTTGCTCAGCTGTTAGGAGGCAGGCTCTCCCCAGACCATCCAGTGCTTGGCCTTCCCTCTGATTTCCACATCATGTCCTCCTAAAAACTTCCTAGACGAGCTCTCATGACTCTCCGTGGATCTGTCTGACCCCTAGACTATCGGCTCCATGTGGACTCAGCCTGGGTACCACCATGGTGCTGGGAGCAGGAAGGCTGAACAAGGGAGGGGCTGTGGTTGCCAAGGTTTCTGGCTGGGGGTGGAGCCAGAGAGAGGAGTTAGCCATTGTCCAGGGCCTAGGGACCTGGGGCTGAGGCCCAAGCACTTTCTGTCTCTCTGAGTGAACTACTTTGGTCAGGAGGAAGCAGTGGGGTACAGGGAGACAGAGGCTCCAGCCTTGTTTGGCATGGGTTCTGAGCCCACCCACGTCCACCTCAGGCTTCCGGGGGCTTCTGGACAGGTAGGAGGGAGCCAGAGTGTGTATGGTGATGGGCCCCGGCTTGGGGCAGTGAGCAAAGTGGAGATGGCTTCCTTCACCCTGAGTTTTGGGTTTGGCTCAGATGCAGTGCTGGGCACACGGGGCTGCTGGGGACCCGCCTAATGTTAATGAGGCAGAGAGCTAAGTATGGGCGTCTGTGGGAAAGCGGGGCTGGAGCAGCTGGGGGAGGTAGCGGCATCAGCAGTTAGGACCATGTACGTTGGCCGAGAAGAGTCGGATCTGAAGCCTGGCTGCATTTCCGTCCCTGTAACAGAGATTACATTGACGGCTGCCTTAGTGAGCTATTGCATGATTTACAACGGTGCTTAGCAAGTACCTGTCCCAGGGCCAGGAACATTTCGTGTCTTGGGGAAGATGGAAGCAACATCATGTTTATGTCACTGCCATAATGGTTTTTGTGGCCACTTGGCTGGGCCACGACTCTAAAATGAGTGTGTCCCTCCCCATATTCCTCATCGCCAAGTTCACATCGGAACCCTACTCCCAGTGTGTTGGCATTTGGCAGTGGAGGTGACCAGGACTCCTATTCCTGTGATTATGAAGGAGCCTGTGTGGTCCTGCCTAAATTAGTTTTTGCTTTAAAAACTACCGACAGAAGCTGGGTGTGGTGGTAATCTCGGTACTCGAGAGGCTGAGGCAGGAGGATCATTGTGAGTTCAAGGCCAGCCTGGGTTACAAAGTGAATTGAAGGCCAGCGTGAATGGCATAGCGAGACCCTGTCTCAAAAAAATCCCCAAACTGAAAAAGTGCCTCCCGAGAATCAGCCATGCTGGGACTGGGAGGATCCAACAAGAGGCCAGCCAGCCAGCCAGCCAGCCTTTCTGGTAAGCTGTGCAAGCTGCATGGCTCCCAGGAAGCAAAAAGTCAGTGCCTCCTGTGTGCCTACCAGCACTCAGGATCATTTCCCCAACAAGCAACCCGCTGGGCGGGAGGACAGGCTGAGTTGATAGCAACTGAGGTGCATAAAGCCACTACGTGCTTGTATTGTTTGGTTGATTTTGCAGGCCTGGCCTAGCAGACTGAGTATCTCTTGGGAGGGTGACAGTAAGAAAGATAGCAAATATGGGGGATTTTCTTGTACCTTGTCTTTGAAATCCGATATTGTTCTGTTTTGCTTTGTTCAGATTGTTTTGCTTTATTCAATATTCTGTTTTGTTTTGGTTTGATTTTGCCATACCTGGTGGAATGGACAACTATTGTGAAGATAACAAGACATCTATTGTAGCCGCTGTTGTTTTGTTGGTATCCTGCTCTGAAGTTCTGTACCAATTTTGCTGCTTTGTTTTGATTGGTCTTTGTTCTGTTTTCTTTTGTTGGATTTTACTATTTTTTTTAAAAAAACCCAAAACCAAACAAAACCAACTACTGACAGACTGACACCATGGAAAGGTCAGTTTTCTCGTTTTATTGTAAAATCCTCAGAAAAAGAGCATTTACAATGACAATACTTTATGATAATCTGTGAGTCATTTTTTTAAATCAAGTGGTACTGCAAATACGTCATGTGTTCCATACCGTGTCATACATCAAAGTAAACACAAACTTATTTCAAATGCCACGTACGGTTACTGTGTTGGTACAAATTTCTACTAAAGTTGATGTATTAAAAATAATTTATATATATTTTATAAATAAGGAAAAAATTCACATGTATAATAATTACAGGAGGCCTTTTGAGAAATACCAGTGATTACAGAAAATATATTTTGGAGTTTACACAACTGCTCAACACAACGCAACCTGCCTTGACATGAGAGATCGGAAAGTTTTCTGGGGGAGGGGGGGCGGGGGGACCCTTAACAGGACAAATGGTGCGTGTGGCTTCCTGTTTTGGGGGGCGGTCACTGGGGTAACACAAAGCGTGAGTCAGTGCGCGGCCACTTCAGCAAAACTCCATGCCCAGTTCTGCTTTAGATCATCTCACAGGACCTTCAGAAAAGCGCAAGCAGCAGCAGCAGAAAGATGGGGAGCGATGGGCCGGGTGGGAAGGGAGAGGGAGGCTGGCCAGCCTGGGAGCCGGGCGCTGAGGGTGCAGTGGGCCAGGGCGCGGCCTGCAGGCCTATTACCCTTGCCTCTCAGAAGTAGCGGAGACCAGCAGTTCTTCATGTGCCCGCAGGTGCCACACCGGGCCCTGGATGAAGGTTTAGCGTGAGGGAATGTTTGCATCTTGCAGCTCTAGGCCTCCCAGCTGGCCCATACTGCCTGGGTTACTCTCAAGAACAAAGCCCTGCTTTGGAAGGCGGTGCCTCCAAAGAGCACACGCTCTGACCCTGCTGCTGTGGCAGTGACACGTGGAGGGCCACGAGTCCTCAGGCTTGGCACAGAGGCCAGACCCTTGTTTTTGCTTTATGGAGGGCAGGCTGAGTGCTCTAGAGGCTTCTAGAGCCGGACCCACATCTCTGGAGCCACATGGGAAAAGAATGGTCCCATATCCACCAAGGTGAGCTTAAAAAGAAGGATGCGTGATTGGTGCCTTTGTGTACAAAACCCAAAAAACCAGTCCAGACACTGGCGTTGGCCCAGGAAGCCTTGCTGTGAATTTTGGAAGTTAATCCCCGCTGTCCCTGACTTTCCCATGAGTCTCCACTCCCTGTCTGATTAGAAGAGGCCTTGCTGCTGGCTGCCACACCCCTGAAGGAGGAGACAGAGGCATAAGACAGTGCTTGCTCAGCTCTAGGTATCAGCTGGGTGGCCCCTGCCCAAAGCCTGCAGGCCCAGACAGGATGTTCAGATCCTCAAGAGACCTGACAGGTCAGCTGGTGTAGACAGACAGATCCTTCTAGGAAGTGGGTGTGGTCCACCAGCTACCAGGAGTCTCATAGTCACACCCTGAGGATAGGCACTACATATACATTTTTTTCCATTTGCATCTTTTAAGCTTCTCTGTTTTATGATCCTTGGGATGTAGAGAGAAAACAAGGCAGTTATTGAGTTCCTTAGACAAAACAGCTTTGCCGACATGCCAGTCTCAGAGCAGATCCGAGCATCTGGCCTTCAAATGACTTCTCACGGCAAAGTATCCTCGGCAGAGGCGCCTGCCTGGTGGCCAGCACAGTGGCGAGGTCCACTGCTCTGGAGTGGTGGCAGCTGCTGTGGAGTGGCTGGTGAGCAGAGAGCGGAGACACAGGCAGGGAACAAGAGCAGGAGGATGAAAGGGAATGGAGGGGCATCGGGAGCTCCCAGCCCCGAGAGCCACGGCACTGCAGAGATGCCGATTTGCCTTCTAGTTTTGAGCGAGCATTTCCTGATCTTGACCACCTAATTGCAGACTGTGCCTGGGCCTGGGCAGATTCTGGGCAGCAAGGCGCCGGGTCCTGAGGGGGTCTGACCGCGCCTAGGAGTGGGAGCAGGGGTGGAGGGAGGGGCCTCCTCATTGGCGCTGCATCAGCCGACAGCACCTGTCTGGCTTCCTGGCCGGGGGCAGCATTTGTGTGTGTGGGTCCTGGTGCAGGGGGGGAATGTGAGGTAGATTGGTGGATGCATAGGAGGGAGGGGGCGGTCAGCGCCCCTGGAGGCTTCTGAAAGGGCAGGTTGGAGGGTTAGGGGGTTTTCCTAGTGAAGATGGTCCAGCGCCCATGGCATCTGAGTGAACCACACTGTGAAAAATGAATGCACGACACTGTTAAGCTCCTTGTAGAAAAATATATTCAGAATGAATCTGTTTCATATCTCAGTTCTGAAATCTCCTTTAGTTCACAGGTTATTGGTCAATAGAAAACGAGAAGACGTGGCTGCACAAAGCCAGTTCCTGGCTGCTGTCCTCAGTGGAGACCCCCTGGAGATAGTGTTCCTCGGTGCAGGCTGTCTCTGGCTTTATTTGGGGTTGCACGCTGTATTCTGGGGTGCCTCCCTGGGGCTAGGAGCCCTTTCTTGGCACACTCGAGCAGGGAGATGGGATGGCTGGTGGGGCGGGAAGTGCAGGGGCTGAGCTGCTGGTCCTGGCCGTGCTTCCTGCAGGTCAGAGGACCTGGGGGTCGGGCTGAGTAGCTGGTCCCAGTCAAGACTTCAGAAGGCTCTTCCAGCCTCCTCCTGTGGTCCGGGCCAGATCTCGGGACTGGTGAGTGGCTCAGGAGTGGAAGAAATTGGTGTGCATCAGCAGGGTTGGGTCAGTGCTGCTGAGCCTGGGACAGTGGCCTTCACCATGTCAGTGTGGCCAGCCCTTGGGTCTGCTTATGCAGGAGGTTCCTTCTGTTGACCCTAGCCATGCTGTCCTTCCAGGGGTGGCTGGATGGGCTTTGGGATCTGGAACCTTCATGCAAAGCCTGGCCCGCTCGGCCAGAAAGAGAACAAGGACCTCCTTTTCAAGGCCTGCCTGTGGCCGCAGGTTCACACTATTTATGTGTGTGTGTGTGTGTGTGTGTGTGGAGGGGGCGGGGAGACCTGTTGACGGATGAAGTATATGGAAGTAGCTGCTTGGTGATTTTTTTTGGTAAACCAGCCTTTCTTGAATAGCTTGAGCTGTTGGCTGCTGATCCTTGTGTCTGTTAGGATGAGCACTTTTGGGGTGGCTGGCGGAGGCCCACCTGTCACGGTGTCACCCACCTGGGTGGCTTTTGGATGGTGCTTGTGAGCCGCTTCTGGGACTAAAGTGTGGGAGGAAGAGCAGGCAGGTCTGCCCGACTGCCCCCGGCCTCCCTTCCTGGCAGATCTGTTGGTTTCAGGGCTGGAAAAATCTGTCCTCCTGTTTTTGTGACTCTGGGCTGGATTCCTGCAGCAGAACGAGGCTTTCAGCCTGTGATGTCCTGATCTGAGTCAGTTTTGTCCCGCATGCTGGCCACCATCTCTTGTCCCCTTTATCATGAGGACGGGGACAGGCAGACCTGCTTCCCAGGTGCACTCAGAGCTGGGAGCAGCAGCGACAGAGCAGGGCTGGTGTGGAGCCGGCCCCAGGCAGGCCTGGGTCAGACAACAGCATTCGCATCTGAAAGGCCAGCGTGGATCAGCTTGTCTTTGCCGTGGGAATCCTGTGATGCAGAGGGGCTGCTGTTCTGGCCTTGCAGTTGGGGTGCGGGGTCTTTCTCTCCTAGGCTCGAGACTTGTCTTCTATCAGGGGCAGACATTATTTTACCAAAAGGAGAAGTTCATGAACATTGGAGAATTTCAGTGATAAACACGGCAAGTTTGGGAGTTCAGATATTAAGATATTGAGGTGCGGGGGGAGGAAAGGCCCATGTGTTATCTTGCCACCCCAGCTTTGGCAGTCAGTACTCCCAGTCTGTATCTGAATGTCTTAACTTTTAAAACAAATCAATGTGAACACTCACGGGTAGGCACACTGGGTTGGAGGGGACAGGCGGCACGAGAGAGAGTTGACCAGTGTTGGGGAACTAGGCAGGGGGCAGGCGGCTTGGGCAGTGGGAGCAGAAAAGGAGCTGGCTGTGTCGAGGGTGAGACAGTGTTTGCAGTCACGGCAACAGTGGCAGGCGAAGGTGGTAAGGTAGGCGGGGCATCTGGGCGGGGCCACCTCTCCCAGCCTCTCGGGTTTACAGAGTGATCACGCCAGAAAGCAGAGGCAGCGCTGATGGAGGGCTGGGGCAAGAGAGAAGATCCAGGGCACAGGGGGAGAAGAAATCCAGCTTTACAAGGGGGGCCTCCTGAGCCCCGAGGGACATTTGTGTCCTAGGGCTTCTGTGCTGGGCTAAGAGGCCACCTGTACTTGGTCAGGCAGCACGCGTCTGCCCTGAATCTGGGGCATGGAGCCTGACCAATGAAATGTCCCCTTTGCATGGTGAGGAGCAGGCACACAGGGCTTGTTCTGGTCTCTGGGGGTCCCCACAAAGGACAGAGTCTGCATTTGGGGAGTTGGGTGGCAGCGGCAGTGCACGCACTGTGGCTGGATGACCACTGTCCTTCTGGCTGTGTGGAACATGCAGCAGTGACCCCAAGAGACGTGGCCTAAGGCAGGGAAGAATACAGCTGAACCTCAAAGAGCGTCTTGCTGTGTACTAGCATTAGAGATTATAAAAAAGTATTTTTTTAATCAAAACTTTCCAAAATAAAGTGAGTGGTTTCCCCGTCCCCCGAGGTGTAGTCGCATCAGACGACAAGTCAGATGGAAAGGAAAGCAAGCAGCAGCGGAGAGCAGGGAAGCGAGGTCTCCAATGAGCGAGCCAGGGCAGGTGGCCTTGAGTGGCTGGGAGAGGAGGAGGGAGGGTCCCGCTCCCCGATCAGCCCTGCTTCCTGCCCCTGCTGTCCCAGGCTTTGCAGGACAGGACAATGACAGTGAAGGCCACCGATAGAAGTGTCAGCCTGGGCAGCAGGATCCCTCCGTCCGAGGTGTCCCCAGGCGACATGGCGTGATTCACTCACCTGGCAGCAGTGTCCCAGTCCCCATCACCGCTCAAGGCGACACTCACACTCTCTACCGAAAAGACCCCCTCCAGGAGCAGCGCAGACCTTAAACTAGGAAACTTGCAAGGAGACCAGTGTTGAACCACAAAGCAGATACGGGTGTTTGCTTTTTTGTCTGTGTGAAAATGTACAGCGTGCCGGTGGGGGCTGTGGTGTCAGGGCCCGGGCAGTGTTGCCGGCCTGGGGCCCCTCATACCTCGCCCACCCACACCACGGCAGCCGCCTGCCCCACACCTGACACCTCACACCGCAGCGCCTGTCGCCTGCCATTGATCAGGAGCAGAGACTCCTGCCCTGGTGTGAGCAGGTACTGTCCAAACAACCCGCTGTCCCGCAGGACTCTGCGGGGTCCCCCCCAGGGCCAGGCTGATCCCGTGGGGGGCTCCTTGGTGTTCTTCAGTGTGCCCGTCTTCCCCGTGGACAGCTCCAGGAAGAGCAGGTCCGGCACAGTCTCCAGGGTGGCGTAGACGTCGTACTGATTGGCCCGAGTGAAGGAGCGTTGGAAGGCCAGGTCCGAGATGCCCGGGCTTATTTTCAGGTCATAGAGGGTCTGGAGCTCACCCCGCACGGTGACCTTCTGCACGTAGAGCCGGGGGTGGTGGGTGGTGGCACTGATGATGAAGCGGCCGTCGGGGGACACGTGGGGGGTCCCTGTCACATCCCCATTGGGACCCAGCACGGAGTCTGTGACGCCATCGATGAGCAGCTGGGGGGGCGTGGGCCCAGGGCCGTCCTGGCGGCACTGGACAAAGAAGTATCCGCCCAGGTGGGTGTGGGCCATGGCGGCGGGCACACAGCCGTGGCGCTGCAGGCTGATGGTCTTGAGCGGCGTCAGCGTCTCCAAGTCCACCTTGTGCACCGTGGGTTCAGACTTGTTGAAGATGAAGCCAAACCTGGGGACAGAAGAACTGAGGTCAGAGTGCAGAGGGCTCCGGCCAGGGCTGGGGGTGCCTCACTCCTCGGTGAGTGCACCTCGCCTTCCCTGTACCCGGACCTGTCAGTGATCTGAGGGTGGGTGAACAGGACACACTGCGCTGCGGGGTGGCTCCCTAACCGTCATCTGTGGTGTCACACGCAGAGTGGCTCCCTGATGGATGCTCCTGGACTCATGCTCTTAAACACGCACTTGTCTTTAGGGTGCCTGTTTTTTTCCATGGCTGGGGAGGGAACCCAGGGCCTCACGCATGCTGAGTGCTGCACCACCGAGCCACAGCCCACCCGTCTCTGGCCCTTCCTCCCTCCTCCCCTCCCCTAAGACCGCTCTGGACAGTTAGCTCTTGCTCTTGGCTGCTCTGTAAGGCGGGTAAGGCAAGGACAGGAGGATCGGGGCTGGCGTTTTGATCTCCGGTTTTCAAAGCTGATTATTTTCTGCCTAGGTTTTATTTTCAGGCAGCCATGCCAGCTAGCTATCATCTATTTTTGTGGTAGTAGGAATTGGGTCCTCACACTGAGCTACATCCCTAGTGTATTTTTTATTTTATTTTGTTTGTTTTGAAACAGAGTCTCACTAAGTTGCTGAGGCTGGGCTCAAACTTGTGATCCTCCTGCTTCTGCCTCCCAAGGATCCAAGATCACAGATGTGTGCCACTGTGCCCTGCCTGCTAGGAGTGGTTTTTAAAGAAAGGTAAAGGCCTTCAGTGGCTTCTCCTTTAGGCCTGTGTCAGCTGGGGATGGTGGCATGGGCTGCAGCGGGAGTGTGAGGAAAGGAGGGGAGACACCTGTCCCTACTGCCTGTCTTGAGCACAGAGAGGTCATTCACTCAGCCGATCCAGGATGCATGAGCAGGTCAGCGTGGGAGGACAGAATCACAGCTGGGGACTTTCTATCCATGCTTCTCACCCTGCAACGACATTGTCTCTTCCATGGCACCAATAATGCATGGACATGGCCTCAAGGACAGAGTCTACCTCGGGAGCTCAGTGGCCGGTGCTGCCGTGTGGCCATGCTGGCTGCAGTGGCCAGGCCAAGCCTTGCCTGAGAACCCTGGTGCCTCCCAGCCAGGGCTCCTTCCTAGACCTGTGGGAGGATCTGACCCAAGAGGGACACAGAGAAAGCAGCTCCAAGCGCTCAGCGCTCACACCTGGGCTTTGTGACCCTCCTCCTGGGAGGCCACTTGCAAATGCGGAAGGGTCTGACTGGCCCTTGCCCCAGAGAGCCTGGCCCGAGGCCGTAGCTCTGAAAGGTGAACCTAAAGGTATAGGGAAAATCTCTTGTATAATTTTCTCTTCAAATCTGTATCTCAGAGTGGGCAAAAATGCTTCGTCTCTCCAGGAGCTTCTTTAAAGCATCCTTCAAGATCCAGAGCATGGCCAGTGGGAGGCAGAAAGCCCTGCTCTGAGAAAAAACAACGTGGAAGACACAGGGCTTGCAGGGCCTCTGTCTGATGGCTCCCAGCTGCAGCCGGCTGCTTTGTCCAGCTCTCCGCCTGTTACCACAGCCTCAGAGGCCCCTGGGTGCTCTCTACAGAGGGGTTCATGTGTTGGTTGTTCCCTCCTGGGGCAGGGCCAGGGTGTGAGTTCTCCACCATCGGCTTGTAGCTGCGAATCACTTCCTGGAGCAAAGTGCTGGGTAGCAGAGAGAAGGTGACACACGCAGAGTGCGCTGAGATCTGTGGGGTGTGGGGACTTAGAGGGCAGCTCCTCTGTTGGCAGGGAGAACTTGACAGGATGTCTGGGAGCTTTTGAAGCAGATAAGGCAGGGGAAGGAGAGGGTGGGGAGAGGCCTGCATTGGCGGCCATGGCTATCACTGTTAGGTTGCTGTTTTGGATGGGGGGCCACCATGGTGATGGGGTGTTGGAGGAGCTGTAGCTGGTAGTTGACTGAAAATGGGGCAGAATGGGAGGTTGCAGAAACCTGGGTTCACGTTTAGCCTCAGTCTGACAGTGCATGCCTGTGTGACCTTGGTCAGTGTCGTAACTTTTCTGGGCCTCAGTTTCCCCACTTGTCAGATGAGTCTGGGCCACCTCTGCTGAGTTTTTGTGTCTGGAGAACAGAGGCTGCTTGTTTAACCACTGCTGGCTCCTTCTTTCCTGTGTGGCCTCACCTTGACGATGAGGCTTCCTGACATCACTGGGCCCCTGGTGTCAGGAAGTGGGGAACCCCTGACTATTGTGAAGCTGCTGAGCAGAGAGGACTGGGCTCTGGGTCTGCTTTGCCAGAGGTGGATCCGTTTCTGTGCCCCTGTCTGAGGGATGAGAGCCTGTAGATCAGGGGTGGAGAGTGGAGAAGGAGTCTGCCCTGGCTCTGGGGCAAGGCCGAAGTGTGCAGGGTGGGGCGGGCTCACCTGATGTGGTTGATGATGAGGTTCGTTGGGGGAATGAAGAAGTCGTCTACTTCCGAGAAAGGTGTTCGGATGAGGTGCTGACCCTGGCCAGTGCTGGCTTCCGTGATCACCTACGACACAGAACGGGTCCTTGTTAGACACCCCAGAGACACCTGCATGCTGCAGAGTAGAGCCGGGCAGGGGGTGCTTGGAGAGAGATGGTGGCCACACTGGTCTCAGGAAAGGGATGGAGCCACACAGAAGCTGCTTCTAAGTCACTGGCAGGGAAGGGACAGGAGGTGGAGGGCGGGGGTGGAGGTGCTGGGCACTCTCCTGCTGGGTCAGCCCTGTGATGGAAGCCTGGAGCCTGAGGGATGGGTGCTGGGCTTCTGAGGTCCCCACACTCTGATGTTTCAGACCCAACCTCCTCCCCGCCAGGGAATTCCACCTTCTCGATTTTGAGGCCACTCTAGGGGGAGAGAAAGAGCTTGTTTACTAATTAAAAGGTTAAGTGGTGGAATTGTTGACTGGGAATTTTTGGGCATTTGGTGCCAGGTGCCTGGGCAGCTTGTGCGGAATCTCTGCCTTCTTCAGAACAGGCTGGGCTTGTGCTGAGCTGCCGCTCCCAGATGCCGCTCCTGTCACTTGGTGTCTTGGGATTTAAATGATAGGGGGGCTCTGGCGTCACAGAGGGACTTGCTGTGAAAGCTAAGGGATTGGGCCTTGTGCTCTGTACAAATTGAGTGTTCTGTGTCTCTAGAGGTAATGCTTTCTCCACTGGAGACTTGGCAGGGGTGGCCGGAGCCATGTCCTGCTGTGTGCGTGGCAGGGTAAGGGCGTGCTGGCCACTCAGGACAGGGCTGGGTGGCCTGGCCCCTGCCGACTGCACATGCTCATCAGCCTTCAAGTTCGAGGTCAGACCTGCAGCCCCATGAGTGGCTTTCTAGTTTCCAGGCACTAAGGACAAGGGCAGCCCCTGCAGGCAGCACAGGGCAGTCCTGGGCCCTGCACAGGAAGCTGAGGTGCTTTTCTTGCTGATGGTTTGGTAGCTGTCTATGCAGCGTGGAGGATCCGGGTTCTGCAGCCTGGGGCTGCGCCTGCAGGATGTGGGACCTCTGCTGTAGGCTTCCCCCTCATGTACTTGGGCGCTCTCCATGCTTCTGCCTTGCAGGAACCGGGCTGCCTTCTGGCTTTTCCTTTTATGACAAAACACACGGCACCTGGTCTTCCTCCTCAGGCAAGTTTCTGTCTTTCCTGGGCTTCCCCGAGGGTCAGCAGGCAGCGTGCTGGAGTAGGAGGAGGTGTACTAAGGTTTTCAGTCCTGGAGCATTCTGAAGTTGCACTGAGCTATTTTCCTGTGACTTCTTTTTTCTTTTATCCTTTTGAGACAGGGTCTCACTATGCAGTTCAGGCTGGCCTTGAAATCACTTTGTAGCCAAGGTTGGTCTCAAAGTCACAGTGATCTTGCTTCAGCTTGCTGGGATTACAGGTGTGTACCACCGCGCCTGGCTTTTTGTTTTTTGTTTTTAAATGGCCAAATACTTGGGTGGCAATGCCTTGGGAGAAGAAACAATAGAACCAGGTACTGAGAACAGATGTGCATTACAAAACTGATCTTTGAGCATCTAGGGGAAAATGTGAGAGGATTCCAAGTGCAACCATGCTGGTCCCAGACTGTCCTCTTGGCTTATCCCCGAGATGGAGAATTACAGGCTGTCATTGGTCAGGGTCACTTCATGGCTCTGGCACTCTCTATTCAGAGGTTACTGCATGAAAAAACTCAAAACTGTGGGTGTTGAGCTGATGTGGGCATGTCGGCCTGGCTTCTCAGAGTCCTGCATTTCTTCTCGGCCTGGTCTTGTGTCCTGGCAAGTGTCTCTTTGGGCACAAGTGTCCTGGAGATAACTGTGAAGCTCCATGAGCTTGGCCCGGGAAATACACATATATGCCCGAGTCTGGGCAATGCCAGTGGTTGTAAGGCTGGGCACAGGAAGGCCGTTCATCTTCCTTGGACAGGTGGGTGAAGCCCGCTCAGAGGTGACTCCAGGAGAGGTACGGCAAGGAAGTGTCCAGGGGGTGGACTGGGAGGCTGCTAGGAGCTGGGCCAGGGAGAGAGTGGGCAGGAGCGTGCTGGGCAGAACGGGCAAGGTGCTAAGGGTGGACACAGCCCAGCTGGCTGCCGGGAGGGCCTCAGTGGAACCAGCCTCACTTCTGCACATTCCTGTGCACAGCGAACAAAGCCCTAACACCTCCCCAGCTGGGAACAATATGAGGTGGTTTTTAATGTTTTGCTAATAGCAACACTGGCACCACTGGCTGAAGCTGGGTCTCTGCATGACTCGGGGATGCGCTGAGAAGCGAGGGGCACTGGGGGAACATTGTTCTTTGCAGGCTTTGCTCCGTGGTCCCCCAGTGCTCACCACTCACATTGGTGGTAGGCTTTTCCTAGACATTCGGTTATAGTGATGGTGGTCATCATGTTCTCGTTCTTCATAGAAACTGGTTTTGCTATTGAATTCAAGGAAATTCATTATATTTAAGAAATTTTTGTCATTCTGGCGTTTAGGATTTTTATTAAGCACATCTAAATTGTCTTTTCAACATTGACTAAAAACATGTTTCTCCCCTCTTTTAATTTGTGGGTGTTAATGAATAATGTTTACTGATTTCCTGAAGTGCACTGCCTATTTCCAATGTGTATTTGGAATTTGCCTTCTGTATTTGTAGGAGAGATTAATTTTAAATATTATTTTTAATTAGTTTTGATAATTACAATTATACTGGCTAGGGCGAGATGCATTTCCTCTCATAGTTTGTGACAGTTTCAACAAACTTAAAATTGTCTGTAGTATGAAGCTTCAACTCAGCTCACTTTTAATGGTAGATCTTTAATCTTAAAAATGTCTTCTATGGTAATTGTTCTATTTCAAATCTCCCTTTTCTTGGGTTAGTTGTTGGTTTTTTGTTTTTGCATTTTGTAAGCATACAATTCTTGTAGGTGTTAAAATTTTTCACTCCAGAATTGTGAGGTTGTATTTATTTTCAATCTTTTATATCTGCAGTAATATTTCCTCATATTGTCTATTTCTATTCTTTCTTCTTAGGGTTGCAAGGAATTATCCTGTTTTTGTTTCCTATTAATGCCAGTTCTTACTTTTTAACACCTGTTTTTTTTTCTAATTTCTTAACAAAAACACTTGCTCTGAAGTCTCCACATTGTTGTAATGCAAAATAGTCTCTTTCAAAATTGCTTTTGATAAAATAGCTATTGAGGAGTGTCTTCTTCATGGGTTGCCTTTTAGCTCTAATTATCAGATAATACAGCCTATAACATCTAACCCTACAGATATTTTAAAGTTTATGATATACTTCTGTGTATGTGGACAGGTGAAAAAAATTCTATTCGACAAACAAAAAGTCTCTGTATTTTTAACTCAGTCCCTTCTTGATACAGTATGAATGCTTTGCTGTTTTGTCTCCTTGGTAGTTGTAATCTAAATCCATTTTAAATCTAAGAGTTATTGCGTGTAATCACTCCTGTGTACTTAGCTGTGTTTTTTGACACGACAGCCGTCCAGAGCCTTTGAGCTGAGCGTCGCTTGGATTATTCATGCATGTCCTGCTATCACCCATGTCACCTCTCTACAGGTACGTTTTTATTATGACTTTCTTTTATTGTGCCCCTTGTAAAAAGGTTTCCTTTTTTTGGTATTGGGGATCAAATTCACAGCCTTGTGCTTGCCAGGCAAGTGCTATAAAGTTTCCTTTTGGAAGCCCAGGCTGATCATCTCTGCTCACCATAATTTAGTTTGTCCCAGTTAGAGTAATGAGATACTTACTCCTTAACATTCTCTGTATCTTCTCTTATTCCAGTAAGCAGAGTTTTGAGTACTTTTGACGTTCTTCTTCTAACCTCTACTCCTATTTTTATTTTTACTGAAATAACCTGTCATCTTTTTTCACACCGTGGCATCAGAAATTCTTTCTAGTCTTCCTTATTTAGGACGTAACCATGTAGATTCCCAGGCTTTCTCCAGCCCTCTTTTAAATCTCCCTCCTTCACTACAAGAGCATTTGTTTCTCCCTTTTGCCCTCTTGATGTCTCTGAGCTGGTTGGCCGGATGTTTGTCTAGTGGCTTTGCTGGGGTGGATTCCGGGAGCAGTGCAGCCTCCAGGTTCACACGCACCCGTCTTCCTTCCTTTAGACTGGACGTGTAAACGGTGACCAGGTGGGACAGGACCTGCGGATTTCAGTCTTTCATTCTCTTGGTGCGCAGATGTGAGTCTCCTTGCTGCTGAGTTCAGTGCCAACCTGCCTGTTTTGTCTTTTACAGGTGACTTGTTCTTTCTGCCCTGAAAGAGCTTCCCTTACATTTCCCCGTTATTCTTGGAGTCTTAGAATGTTACTAGAAAGGACACAGCAGTGCAGACCAGCACCTGTAGATCTTGGCAGTCTACATGCCCACGTTCCTTCAATTTAGAACTTTGTAGGCTGTTTTCCGTCAGCTGCTGCCTCTCAGCCTGTGACCCTCCACATCAGCTGCTGCCTCTCAGCCTGTGACCCTCCACATCAGCTGCTGGCACCCGCTTCCTTCCCAGCCTGCACTCGGCTGGCTCACGGGAGGTGCGGGTTGGCTTCTTGGCTCTTTTCCTGACCCACAACTGCTGCTGGCTTATGGGAGGGTTCGACTTGACTTCTTCCAATTTAGAATTTTTATTTTGCATTTAATATTGGGTTCCATTTCACCGTGATCTCTTTCTTTGTCTGAACTTCTGTGGTTCTAGGTCACATTTCAGTCTTTTCAGATGTTTACCATGTGTTTTCTGAAAGATATTTTTTGTCTTTCCTTTCAGCCTAATTTTTTGGTGGGGCTCAGTAGGAATCATGCATTTTCTAACTCATCTTTTGCCATTTTAATATTTTTGTTTAGTTTTAGCTGAACAAAACGAAACAACAAATGCTTTGTCTTTGGTGGGCCTTCTCCTTGGATTTCCTGTAAGTGATTTCTTCCCATGTTTGAGCGTTTCCTCTGGGAGCTCTGTTTCTCTGGACTTCCATTCTGTCTGCAGTGACCTTTGTTATAGCTCTTACACCCTCTGATGAGTTATTACTGGGACCCAGGACTGGTCAGTGCACCCTTGCGTGACGGTGGCTTCAGCTGACAGAGGTGAAGTAGTGTCTTTCCTGGTCGAGCAGGACGCAGGCGGGTGGTCAGTGCCTGGGACTGAGCTACTTCTGGTCCTGGTCTCCTGGCTTCTCACCAGTTCTGGAAACAGGGCACAGCTCCTGTTGCAGTCCTCTTCAACTGGGCTTCTGAGAGAGAATCAAACTCTGTTGGCTCGAGTTCCTCTCCTGAACATCTGGAAATCTCTTGGAGAAAATCAAGTCAGCAGCCATTCAAATCACTTCCTCATGAATTCCTGGTGAGGACTGGGCCAGGCACGCACAGTGCAGGGCCGGGCTGCCCTTCCCCGGGTCCCGGTCTGGCACCCTCCGCATCTCTGGAGCCTAACCTCGTCCTAGAGGGGTATGAGGTAAAGGCAGGGGTCTGACTGAGCAGGCTGCACAGCCACACTGCTGGGCCGGGGCACAGGCAAACTGCTTAACTTTTTCATGCACGCCATGAACACCTAGTAAATGTGCTTTTGTTTATAGATATAATCGCTGTGGCTGCTCCTCCTCTTTCTTGGCCAGTGCTGTCATCTGAATGAGAGTGTCCCACAGAAACGCTGAGGCATTGTCCGCGATGTAATGGGGCAGAGGGGTGGAAAGACCTTTATGAAGTAATTGAGTCATAAGGACTCCACCCTCCCGGAAGGATTAATGAGCTCTGATGGGACTGTTTATCACAAGAGCAGGTTGTTAGAAAGGGGCCCTGGCCCTGCTCCTTACTCTGCCTCACATGGGACTTTTCCAAGTGCTCACCTCTCCCATGGATAAGATGCTGTGGAAGGCCCTCACCAGAGCCGACCGGATGTAGCTGCCTGATCTTGAATACAGTCATGAGCCCAAATCAACATCTTTCCTCTGTGGATTGCCCGGCTGTGGGTATTTCGGCCTGATAACAGGAAACAGGTGAGGACAGCCAGCACCGGGGGCGTGCTGTCCTCCCACCTGCCCAGCCCAGGGTGAAGAAAGCATGTTCCCCTTCTTCAAGTGCCTCGTCCTGCTTGGTTCCTGGAGTTACTGGCTCAAGAGAGCCGGGGAGGGTGGGACTGGCCGTCCTGAAATAGCGTCTGTCATTGTCAGTACCACTGTCTTTAAAAGCAGGCCCGGGCGGACAGTGCTGTGCTAACTGCCTGGCAGGGGCAATTCCCCGAGGCCGTTTCCTGCGCTCTCCTTGAGCCTTGATGGGGATATTCTGGGTGCATGTGAACGCCTGCCCAGGGAAGCGGGAGACACTGATCTTACAGAAAGGGCCTCCTCGTACAGAGGATGTGTAGCCTCCATGTGCTTAACCTACCTGCAGGCTCGGCTGGGCCTTGTGCACGTCCCCCCAGCTCAGCACCCACACCTGGTCATGCGACTTGTCATAGGACAGCTTAGCTGGCAGGGGGTCCACACCTATGGACTTGAAACACAAAGCGGCAAGTTGGTCATCTTGTGGTGGAAGCTGATGTGATGACCACTTCCAGGCTTTGTGTCCACGGCCATCGTTCTTAGCTCTCCTCTGATGGGTACTGTCCTCAGAGGCATATAACTGGTCAATAATGTCTTCTCTCCCCCTCTCTCCCTGCCTCCCTCCCTTCTTCTGTCTGTCTATCTGTCTGTCTGTCTATCTCTCTCTCTCTAATATCCATTCTTTTAAGGACTTACTTTCATATTTGACCAACTTGGCCAAAGCCTGCACACGGATGTTTTAAGTGTACCACTCAAACTTCAGAGCTCCCGTTTCCTTCTTCCTGGAAGAGTTTTTTTTTTTTTTTCCTTTTTGGGTACTAGAAATGAAACTCAGGACCTTGCGTTTGCCAGGCAGGCGCTGTGCCACTGAGCTACACCTCCAGTCCACCTCCTGGAAGCTTTATGGTCCCCTTGCCCACTGAGCATCCTTCCCTAGCTGCTCTGTGTCCAGGATTCATAATCTGGTCCTTCCCCGACTCATCCGAGGTGGACTCTGAGTTCGTTCATTACCCACCCCTCTCTCATCTTTCTTTGACTCTGAGCAGCTCCTTTCTTCCTGCAGGCACTTCCTGCAGGTAGAGCCTTTGGGATCCAGACCTTGGCATCAGGCGGATGCTCCGTAATTGTAGAACCTGCCATTCTGCTGTCTGAGGAAGCCACAGCCTCTCTGGGGCCCTGTCACATGATATAAGCTATTTTTTAAAACTTCTTATAATGTAGTTGTGTAAGTTCCCAAACTTTACTCCATAATTCTCACGTCACGAGCCTGGGAGCCCAGGTCTCTCTGTCACCATTCACTGGCCGAATTCCTAGTTACTTCCTTTGTTCACCAAATATGTGGACCCAAGTTCACTGTCATCTTTTCCCTTCCTTGGTCACCAGGTTTGGTGCCGTCAAATCTACCCACATGGTCTATTTACTCAGGGTCTGCCTTCTTAGCTTCTTGGTTTCAATGTTCTTTTCCTCTCCCTCACCTCAGCCACCAGAACTTGTTCCATGTCAACATCACTTCTGAAATTTCAATCTCAACAAACTATGTCGGAGCCTTTCTGGTTGGGCTGAACCATCTTTGCACACCGCTCTGCACGCCTCTCAGGGCTCACCTAGGGAGCCCGTGTCCCCTTCTCCCTAACTGATTTCCACCATCCTGAGCTGATTTCCATCCGGTCCCCTCCCTCGAGCGCCGCAGGCCTCCAGATCACACTGTGATGGGGGAGATTTCCCGGGGTTGACGAGCTCCCTCCCACCCGCTTCTCCTGGTGCCCGCTCCTAAGGACCCTGCACTGTGGTGACGGCAGCATGACTCATCTGTTGGTGACCTCAAGGAAGGATACACAGATCCGAGCTTTTCAGGACTCAGTAGTGCCCGCTGCTGAACTGTTAGCCCCCCTCACCTCTGCTTTGAAAGGTACTTCTGCTTTCCTACTCAGCGTAAAAGCTCCTCAAGTCTCAAGGGGAGACTTTTTCTAGGCTCCACACACTCTGGACCCCTCAGGGAGCCCACCTCACTCCCGTCCAGCCAGTGTCAGCTACTTCTCTCCATCTGCCAAAGGCTTTGCCACCCAACATGGTCTTCTTCTTCATGATGATATCAGCTGGGCATTATTTTTAGTTTTCCTTTCTGCCTTTCTGTCTGTCTGTCTTTCTTTCACTCCCCTCCCCTCCCCCCTCCCCTCCCCTCCCCCTTCTCTCCCCCTCCCCCTCCCCTCCCCTCCCCTCCCCTCCCCTCCCCTCCCCTCCCTCCTGGCAGGGTCTTGCTCTGTAGTTCAGGCTGGCTTTGAATTCACTATGCAGCCCAGCCTCAGCCTCTGGAGTGCTAGGGTTACGGTGTGCATCACCATGTCTGAGTCTTGGTCTTGATCTCTTAAAGGAGAAAAAAGCCCTTCATGACTCCCTATTCTCCTCCAGCTACTTTATTTTTTTGCTTTCTTTAAGTAAACTTTCCCTAAAATCTGGACAGAGGCTATTGTTTCTCCTTTCTGCCTAACCTTGCCCCCACCCCCTGAGATTCCGTATTCCTGTTTGGAGGCAGTGTGGAGGAGGGGCGCACAGCTAACCCAGACCCTCAAGTTCAGAGCACAATCCCCTTAGCTTCAGTATTCTGAGGTGCGAAGGGCCGGCAGACAAGAGAAACAGGCAGGCTCTGGGTTAAAAGTCTCAGTATCAGGGCTGAAGAGGAGGCAGCCCGAGCCTTCTGGGAGCTTTGAATGATTCGCTTGCCACTGTCTGCCCAGCAGAAGAAAAGACAAACCTTTTCTGTTGGATGACAATCGTTTAAATTCTCTACAATTTTATATATAAATGTGTGGTTTTAAAAAAAATCACTAGGCATTGTAAAAGACAGATGATATAAAAACAACATTAAAAGAGAAGTAGGTGATCCAAAAAAATACTAACAATTTGTGTATAAATAGAGTTAAAAATAGAAAATTAAGTTGAAATTTCAAAAGTGAAATATGTGAAATAAGACTTTAGTAAATAAATGTTATTAAATCCATGTTAGAGCAGAAGAAAACAGGTTGATAGAACACATCCAAAATGAAGTAAAGGGAGACAATACAGGATGCAACGAAAAGTCTCATTTTTTAAAAAGAGGAAGCCGAACATGTGGAGAATTGCTGAGGTTTCCCCAATCTGATGAAAAATGTCAATCCACACATTCAAGAACCTCTGCAAATCCCAAATCAGAATAAATGCAAAGAACATACCCAGGCACTTCCTAAACTGCTAAAGACCAAAGGAAAAAAAATTAAAAAGTAGAGAGGACAAAGAGATATATTACTCTCAAAAGAATATCAGCGAGACCGAAAATTAGCCTATCATCAAAATCAATGGGACACACAGGGTGACATCTTAAAATGCTGAAAGAAAATAATTGCCAATCTAGAATTATTTACCTGGTGAACATAACCTTCAGAGATGAAGAGAAAAACGGATATTTTCAAAGAGACAAAAACAGACTCTTCCGAGCACACCTTCTCTGTAAGAACTATTAAGAACCACGTACTTCAGGAAAAAGACCACTAGAAGGCAGATGATGATGGGTGAATACTAATGAGTGCTTGTTCAAATAATATGCCTTGTCGAGTTAAGTGATATATAGAATTAAAATCAGTTATTATAATGCAAAAGACACAGGAGGGTTAAAGGAGTTAAAGTGTTTCAGCATTATGGGGAAAATGAACGACAGTTTGTGTTGGTCCTGAAGCAAGGATGCAGCGTTATAATTCTCTGATGTTAATAACAGAACAGAGTGAATCTTTAACAAGCTAGTAGTCAGGAAAAACAGAATTAAACTGTTTGGCAAATTCAAAAGAAAGCAACCGGAAAAAAAAGCAGTACAAATATGTAGTCTAATGAAAAGACACTATTATAACTCAACTATATAATCAAGTACATGAAGTATAAGTGGACAAAATACTTCAAGTACAAGACTGAGATTCTTTTAGAGAGAGCCCCAGATCTATGAAATCCATCATGTGTTGCTTTGTGAAAGAATACCTTAACCGGAAGGACATAGAAAGTACAAGGGTGAAAAATTATGACACGAGAATACTAATCAGAATGCATCTAATTTAACCAGTATTAGGCAAAAACAGACTTTCAAGTAAGCAGGCTTAGTAGAGAAAAATATGTTTTCCTAAGAATAAGAGTCTTTCCCTCCAAAAAGACACAACTTTATAGCAAAAATGGGCAGAACTTGGAGAAACAGATAAATGTCCCATCATAGTGGAAAATTTTTAACACACCTTTTAGTGACAGACTAAGAAGACAAAAATCATTAAGGCTAGTGGGTCTGAACAGTGCGATGAATCAAAGTGACATAACGGACATCTGTAGAAAACCGCATCGAGCCGTCAGGATACACACCCTCCTGAAGCACGCATAGAACACTTGCTAAAACCGATCATAAACTCAGTTATTATAAAACAAGCTTTGGAGAAAAAAACCTCTGGTAAATCCCAAGGGACTAAAATTATTCGAGCGTGTTCCCTGGCCGGGAGAATCAATTACAAAAAGATAGGCAGGAAACCTCCTGCTGTATTTGCCAGGAGAAACCACAGCCTGGCTGCTGTCCAGCCTTGTGCCGAGCAGCAGAGTGTGGGTGGGGAGGGGCAGCAGCTGTGCAGAGTGCTCTAAGCCGACGCCCAGTCCTTCAGGGGCCTCGCTGCCACCCAGCGGTCCAACCCCGTGCACCTGGTCCACTCTGTCCCATGTTTAAGTTTTGTTATCTCCTCAAGCCGCCTGCCTTGGTGGCAGTTTTCCTTATTTCACTGACCAAACAGATGCAATGAGATGAAAGTGGACCTGCCCTGTCACCTTGCGGTGAAGACTGCATTTCCTGCAGGCCTGCAGAAAGGCGCTGTCTTTCAGGAAGGGCGAGCATCCTGTGGGCTTCTGCTACTTCCGTGGGGTGGGGCTGTTTCTAGCCGCGCACACACATGGTGATGTCCCTTTAGCACTCACTTTCAGCAACTGCCCTGGTCCTCTCCTTCATTTCCCTGGGGAAACCAAACCTCTCCACACAGCTGCCCGCTCCCCCACCGCCACCTCCTTCCCCAGTGTTCCGACCCGAATCCCAGCCCCCCAGCAGGCCTGTGTTCACCACTGTCATGCTTTCTGTCCCCGCCAAGCTGATCCACAATGCTGTGGTACCAAGCCCGATGACCTGTTCTCCGTCTTCACGTCCCACGAACGCTCTCAGGGAGCACTGGATACTGCTGAGCGCAGCTCGCCTGTGAAGCCTGTCACTCTTTGCAGCTCTCCTGATGTTCCAGCTGCCCTTCCGGCCTCTCCTCTTTGGACACCTTTGCTGGTATCCCCCCTCCTTCCTGATCATTACATGTGGAGCGACCCAGGTCTCCTGTCACCCTTGGGGATTCCATCTGATGTCACCCAATTGACTTCTCTGGCCTGGCCCAATAACCCTTGTGCTTTCTCCATGTCTCTGTTTACATATCTAATAGCATTCAAACCAGCGTCTCCCCTATCTGACCTCTGCTTTGCTCCCCGCCTGCGTAAGTCTCTTTCACCACAGTGTATTCATTTTGCGTTGCTGAAGTGACAACTTACTATGGATCTGGGGGCTCGAAACAACACAGATCTGTTCTTACAGTTCTGGAGACCAGAAGACCAGAATCGATTTCACTGGGACAAAAGCAGTAGCTCAGCAGGGCCATGCTCCTTGCAGCCTTGCAGCGGCCAGAGGGAGAACCTGTTTGCTCATTCCGTCTCTACAGCTCAGCCCTGGTCTGAGTTCCTCTCCCTCCAGTTGTCAAAGCCAGCAATGGACTGTCGTGCTTTAGGCTCACGTTGACTCCTTTATTCCGGGGGCCAAGTTTCTCTCGTTTTCTCTGATGAGGAGGCTCTTGACTGCGCTTAGGACCCACCCAGATAATCCAGCTCATTTCCTGCTGTGAAAATCCTTCATCACATCTGTGAGCTTCCTTATGCTCTATCAGTGGATGTTCACAGGTTCCGGGGATTAGGGTGCAGACATCTTGGGGTCTGTTATTCGGCCTGCCTCACACTGTAAATGGCACCATCCTTCTATGCTCAAGTCGACAAGCAAGCAAACACCTTGACTCTCTCTCTCAGACCATACACTCCCACGCGAGAACATCTTTTAGGCTCTTTTTAAAATACATCGAGGGGGGAGATAGTAAAGCAGTAAGCAACAGAGACAACAGCCTCTCTTGAGATGCTGAAATATAGCAACATGAGGAAGATGAGGAGGAGGAAAGGGGTGCTCTGGACCCAGGAAGAATCTGAGGTGCAAACTAAAGCCCAGGAGAGAGTGAGGGAGAAACTCCAACGGAGAAGGGGCGGCCAGCGGTGCCTGCTCCCTGAGAGCGGGGGACTCTCTGCACAAGAGGAGCGGTTTGAACCTGTGGACACTGAGGTCTGGTGACCCTGAGGCTCTGCAGAGAGACGCAGCAGACGTGAAGGACTGCACAGACCGGTGGTGCGTGCAGGGGTCTGGGGCCATCTTGGAGGTGGGCAGCCTGAGATCAGAACTCCGAACTGTGGCTGGCTCCCTCTCCTGACTCCCAGCAGGGCTCAGACCCGCGGAAGGTGTTTGGAAGACAGCCAGAGGTGACGACTGGTCTCCACCAGAGAGTGCAGGCCACTACCCCACCAAGAAGCCACCGCTGCTGTGCTGGGATGCAGGGCCACGGGTCAGGACTCTGTCTCTGCAGGCTGTCTGCCGGTGACAGCAGAGACAAATCTGGACAAACCTGGAAGTGGACTTTTTTCCCTGTCTCCTCCCTTCTCTCTCTCATGTTTGTCTTTGAATTTTAGTTTTTATTTCTTTCTTTGGTCCTCCAACCTTATTTCTAATCTAATCTAACCTCTTCCTCTTTTTCCAATTTTAAATTTTAATGCCAGAGGGCAAAATTTGACATACCCATTGACATATCATTGTACAATGCATATAATTTTCTGGTTTGATTTAGACTCTGTTTGTTATGTAACCATAAATCTAGTTTATATAGTTAAAAGTGGAAAAATTAAAGGTTAGCTCAGCCTGTCATTTTCTAGGCTGTGTTTGATGCTATTGGTAGCATTATAGCCAAAATTGACATAATTGTTCTAAACAGCTGTTGGTCCTGGTATTCCGTGACCGAGATTGACTACAGGTCACAAAAAATACTGTGGCACAGTGCCAGAGAGTCAGAGACTGGGCCAAACAACTTCTCATCCCCAACAAACTGAAGAGGTCAGATCTTCCAGCAGACTCAAAACCCAAAAACCAGCTACACCTGGAAGACATCTCAAGAATTAGTCGTCACCTGACGGTCCTAAATAGTAGCCATAAAGCAGCCCACCAAGATGCTTGGCAACTTCCAAGCATCACCCCAGGAATTAAGGAAAGCAATGAGAAGACACTTGAACAAAATGCAACCCCAGACATTGAGTTTGCCAAAGACACATCTGGGGGGGGGGCAGTGAGGGGACAATCTAGAAGCCCCTCCAGGTCTCTCTGCAGCAGTAACAATGAAGCAATTGAATGAGGCTCTGGAAAACATGAAATCAGAAATAATCTCTCAGATAACTAAAGAGACGATATTCCAAATAAAGACCATGCTTAGTGATGCCAGAGCAGACACAGACAAAAAAAGAGACGAGCTTATAGAAGCTCAGCACAGGAAAGAAATGGAATCCCTGAAGCAGACTCAAACAGATAGCCAGGAGAATAAAAACTCCACTGAAAATATTCGACACAGATTAGGCCAGTGGGAGGATGCTGAAGACAGGCTTGCAGATAGCAAACAGGAAGAGAAGGATTTCTCAAAACTAGCAAGGGACCATGAGAAATCAATGCAGCAGCTGCTGGATGAGACGAAGAAGAGTAAGTTAAGATTGACTGGAGTCTATCCAGGAGCAGGAGATACCACAAATGACACCAAGAAAATGTTCGTGGACATCATGGCTGAAAGCTTCCCTGGTAAAGAACAACACATTGGGTCTGGCGCTGCTTACCAGCCTGCCCTGCCATGCTCTCGTGTCTGGCTTTGGTGCCCGCCCCTGCCTCCTCTCTTCCTCTGAGAATGTAGTCAGCGCCTGTCTCTGGGCCGTGACCTTGCCTTTACCTGATCTCACCGCCACACTGCACCGCACTCAGAGCTGGCTCTCTGCTCACCCCTGAGAGGACCCCGACTTCGAGTCCTTGGAGTCCTTGTATAGTTCCCGTCTGAGTTTTCCCAGACCTCATCCAAATCCTTCCAGTTCCCTGAAATTTGGACTTAGGTTCTGGGTTCCCGGTGAGAATCTAAGTGCTGGGGACCACTGTGATCGTTCATGGCTATTTCTGGAGTGCTTGGACTGGCGTTCCATACGGAGCGCCCAAGAAATACTCAGGAGTCAGTGCACACGAGTGGCTGGGCAAACTTGTACCTGTAGGACCTTCTGGGCTTGAACGTCGACCACAAGGACTCTGCTCAGTGCTGGCTGGGCCACGTAGATGTACCGGTTCCTGACGTTGACTGCAGACGCCCACTGGCACCGCTGGGTGGCGTCGCCTTCTTGGGGACAGATCTCTTTCTGTAAGGGAGAGACGCCCTGGGTATTCCTCCTCCCCACCCTCCGGTCCCTCCCCTCCCACTTCCTTGTGGTTCTGACACAATGCGGCTCACAACCTTTCCATGGATCCACCTCCTCGGGGACAGTTCTCTGTCGCCCTACTCTGTCCCTCTCCGTCAGCGGTTTCAATATTGAGTGGCTCCCTCTTCCTGTCCCTGCTGCTGGCCAGGCTTCTGAAGGAGGGGTCCACACCCTGTCTCCATGTCCTCTCTGGCTTTAGTCCTTGTCCACAAAGCTGCCACTGTGCTCACAAGGTCCACACGGACTCCTCAGCTGCTGAGGGAAACCCGTGCTGTCGCTGTCACTGTCACCTGAGGGTGCTGGGCACTGCTCACGTCCTCCCTTCCGCCCGCTGCAGGGGCCGAGCCCTCTCTGCTCCCTTTGTGGCTCTCTACGTCAGAGTCTCCTGGCCTCCCTCCTAGATTTCTTTTCTAATCTTCCTCCTCCTCCTCCTCCTCCTCTTCCTCCGTCGGTCTCATTGAAGCCCATGCCTGAAACACAGTCCACATGTCCACAGTAACCTGCCTCGTCCACCTCGGGGTTTAATGTGGATCTCAAATCTGAATGCCCCAAACCAGCTCTCACATCTGCCTCCCGGTTCTGCTCATCCTGCTCCAAACCCGAAAGCACTCGGTTTACTTTCCTAGACTAAAAACTTTGAGTGTGTGTCATCTTCTCCTCCGCCTTCGTTTCCCAGCCAATACATCCCAAATCCTTTCCTTAAAAACATCATCCCCTTTCTCACCACATCTCCCCATCCTCCCAGCTCTAGCCACACCATTGGTACCCAGACGCTGCTCCCTGGGGCCGGGGATGCAGCTCGGTGGCACAGTGTCTGCCTGGCAAGAGCCTGAGTTTGTCTCCCGGTACAAAAAACCAGACTCTGCTCCTGGGTCCTAGACCAGTCTTTGCCAATCTAATGTCCACACCATGACTGCAGTGATCACAGGAAATGTATGCCAGGTCACATGATTCCCCCTAACCTAATAACAGCGAACCCCAGTGCCTCCTGAGCCCCACAGGGCGTCTTCTTTTGGTTCCTGCTGTCCTCTGGCTCACTCCCCTCCGGGCCTGGCAGTGGCTTCTCTCTGCCAGGAACGCTGTCCTCCCCGTGTCTGTCTGGTTTACTCTCAGTTCTCAGCTTGGATGTCACCTTCCCCAGAGGCCCTCTCTGACCACAGCGAGTTTAGCAACCCTAGCGCTTCCCTGTCCCTCAGTTCTGCTGTGTTCTCATTGGACGCCTGACTGTGTATGTGCATCTGTCTACTTACATGAAGTCTGTCTCAGTCCACTGTAACTGTAGGTCATGTTTTCAAGGAGCCCAGAGTACCCCATGAAACAGGTGGGAAACAGAAAGGGGCCTGGTAGGGCAGGCTCCGCCCGGGAATCTTCCTGCCAGCTGGCTCTTGAGCAAGGAAGGCTATCTCTGGATCGACCACTACCAATCACTTCTGCCTCTGTCCACTCCACTGTGGCTTTCTCCTTGGCCTCGTGGTTCATTCTGTGCATCCGGGCTTTCTCCCTAGTCCCCTGCGGCAGCTGTCTGCTCACATTGCTATCTGCGTCCTATGGCCCTGGACTTTGGGTAGCCGGAAGCTGGAAACTTATATGCACCCCTGGACCTCGCCTGGGGTTCGGCACACGGCAGAGGCTGCTGGCTGGAGAAAGGCGAGGGAGAGTGCTCAGCCTCCTGTGTTCCTCCCTCAGCCCCGGAGCAACTGGGAACCGCGTTGTACACAGCCAGTGGAATTTAACATCCGCCCGGCACACGTGGGATTGACTTTCAGAATTTTCCTGCCCGTGATGTGGACGCTGCCCTGACCACAGACACTCACGTAGCTCATGAAGATCTTCTCTGTGGGTTTGAGGTGCCTCTGGATCTCACAGTCCACAGGATGGACGACGACAATGCCGTCGTCGGAGAAGACATAGAACATGTTTCCCACACTGAGGCCTGGGCAGGGGGCAAACAGCATGGTCAGGCCCCCAGAGGTCACCCCCAGGCCGGTTACATGCAACGCAGAACACACAGGATGCAGGCACCAAATGCAATTCCCGGCAGATATGGGCGGGATGAGTGGCCAGCGGGAGGCACCCTGCTTGATGACGCATGGGGAACGTGGGGAGAAAGGGACCCTAAGGCTGAGACTCAAGACGCCCCTGTCCACCTCCGTGGTACCAAGCTGCCCTAGACACACAGTGTCTTGTTGCTGCATCATCTAGGGTTGGCAGCCAATGCAAGTTTACAAATAACCACGGCCTCGCCTTTGTGACAGTCCTTGATCTTTCTTGTTCGGAGATGGAAAGCATCCCTTGGTTGGTTGGTGGGGATTAGTGGAAGCAGAATGGAGCGGATGGTGTCAAAAAGATAAAGGCTTTTGTTTTTAAAGCATTTGTACATGGTGTTGCTCCTTGTAGGTGGGGCCTGAGGGTGTGCTGGCTGGTACTCTGTCCACACTCAGTCCTGGCCCGTCCAGCCCTCCTTTCAGACAGCTTGTGCCACTTCTGTCCCACTCTGGGGCGGCCTGGGTGGCAGTGTAGCAAACACTCTGGCCTTGCCTATCTGTCTGCCCCTGCCCTGGTCTGGGGCTGTGCATGTCTGTGGATGTCATCCTTGGAGAAGCGCCCTGGGGGACCGGCTGGTTCAGCCCATTACTCTCAAAGTAAAGAGACCCAGGACCAGGGAGTAGGAGGGCTTGGCTGGGGCTCCCCGCCTCTGTGCCAGAGCTGGGTGAGACCCTGCATCCCACCTGTAGGCTCCGTCCGCTCATTCTTCTCTCCCTCGGGGCGGACATGGCACAAAGGGATGTGAGATCTAGGGTTCCCCTCGCCCCTCCACCTCTTTCCTGCCCCATTTCTCTTCCTCCTTTCTCTCTCCTTCCACTTCTTTTAATGCTAGAAAATCAGGATTTGTATAAATTCTAAGGAAAGTATATTAAGAATGTTTCCAGCATGCTGAGAAGGCTGGTGTCATGGCTTAATGGACTCTCTGGGTAAGTTTTTAGTGAATTATAAAGCAGTAGAACTGGAAAATGGGAAATAGTCCACCAGCCCAGCTGGAGAACAGGTCACCCAGGGTGACTTGGACTCAGCTCAGCTCTGGAGATCACCTACAGGGACCTGAGCATGCACATGCGAGCAGTGCCCAGCAGGCACTCTGTCTCTGCTGCTGCTGCCAGGCCTTCATGCTAATCTTGAGCCAATGAAACTGTCACTATTGGGCCATCTTTGATGTACAGAAATGGCATTTACATATGGCTCGATCCAACAGCTAATTTGCTTCATAAATAAGATATACTTCTGAAAAGTCTATACGTTGAAAAATGCAGATTTACAGAAATTGTGTTTTTTTTTTTTCTCAAGTAAAGCATAATTAAGACCCAGCTACTGTGGCTAGCAGAAGGTTATTCATTCATTTATTTTTAGGAGTGCTGGGGATTGAAATCAGGACCTCATGCAGCCCAGCCAAGTGCTCTACCACGAAACTATATTCCCAGCCTTTCGGTCTTTTAAAGACAAAATAAGATAGCAAAACATGAACCCCAACATGCAGTCCACTGTGGGAAAAGTGGAAGGTCCAGATCTGACTGAGAGCTTCTGTCAAGTGGTCTGCTTCAGACAAGGCTCCCAGCAGTTTTCAGTGGAAACTTCCCATTTTAAAGGCTGCCATTAAACACGCTAATGGCTTTTAATTTGATTCGATGAGTTTCCATTTGAGTTGGACGCAGACCTCCCCTCCCCCCTCTAGGTTTGAGTTGTGGGCCTTGCTGGTGCGTTAGCAAAGCTGACAGCAGCTCCGGAGACGTGGACCTTCGGGGAGTCCCAGACATGCACGATCACAGGCACAACACAGGCCAATGAAGGGCGGTACCTTCCTCTCTCCAAAGAATGTTTGCCACTGTGCAGCAGAGAGGAGAGCAGGCACAGGATTGCCAGAAGGGAAAGAAGAAAGAGGTCAAACGCTGACCGCGGGGATTCATTCCGTGCAGGGATGCCCTGCTACCCAGCCAGGTGCTTGCAGAAACCGCATCACTCATTAGAGCTTCAGAGCCCTAGCTGTAGGATGGGGTCTCTTGGCCTTGGGACCCTTTTGAGTCCTACATGGACCTTTGAGCTGAGGCCTCAGGATCACAGCAGCGAATAAGATTCGCGTGTTTTGTGAATGTTAAGCTGTAAAACACATTTTCCCCTGTTTTCCCAAATTATGTCTAGGAGAACTGATTTCCTTTAGGATTCTCCTAGCAAGAACATGCAAAGTCCTTTTGATTACAAAGGCTTGCAGCCAGGGAGTTAGCTCAGTGGCACGGTGCCTGCCTGGCAAGCACCAGGTCATGAGTTCGGTACCAAAGGGGGGGGGGAACCCAAACATACACACAAAGGCTTAGCTTGGAGTCCTGGACTGAGGGAAAGAGACTGGGACCAGCACCCACATTCACGAATTCTTACCTGCAGGCTCTGGGGTGGGGTGAGGGGCAGGAAGCAGGGGGACAGCACACTGAGCACACCAGATGGGTGACGTGCCTGGAATAAAGGCCACCCTGCTCCCAGTGGTGTGCGTGTCCAACAGTCTGTCCTTACTGTGGGGGTCACAGAAACTAGACAGCACTGAACCCTCGCTAGTGTATTTTTTCCTGTATGCATGTATCTATCATCTATAAATTAGGCACAGGAAGAGATTAACTCTAACAATAAAATGGGACAAATTATAACCATACAGTGCAATACAAGTTATTTAAGGCTTAGGAAGATTTGTGTTTCTGGAATTTCCAGTGTAACATTTTCAGACCGTGGGGAGCGACAGTGCAGAGGAAGGCGTATCTGTTTGCACGAGCTGGTTTCTGTGTCACTGTGGGTCCAGCACCTGGTGGGGGGATGGTGTGAGGGCTTTTGTGACCAAGAGGCAGAGCTTCTGGTCCCACAGCACCAGGAGGCAGAAGTGGGGCGGGGACTCTGGCGCCCCCTTGTCGTGGGTGCTGTCCCGGAGCTGACCAGGATTTTATGCACAGACATTGAGTTTACTGCAGTCTTTAGGGGCTCATGATTAGAGGCTGTGGCCCCATTTTGTACCCTTTTTGGCCACCTGATGCCACCCCCAAGCAGCTCAGCCAGGAGGCCAGCGTGAACTCACGGGTCTTCCTGGCCGAGTCCTCGATGAAGAGCGAGGAGATGTCTTCATCCACACCCACTTCGTTCTTGGCGATGCAGGTGTACGCGCCCGTGTCCTCATACCGGACGCTGCCGATGTGGAGCTCACTCCCGTTGGCTACAGAAAGGACAGTGCTGGGGTGGCCCACTCTGCCAGACAGCCCCGGACCGGGCAGGGGCCACCAGTGTCCCTCATACGTGCCCAGGAGAGAAGGGCCCAGATGAAATTACCAAGGCTGACCTGGAAACTGAGGGACAGTTTCTTGTTATGGCTCCTAGAAAGTCCCCAAGAACTGTGGCAGCCCAGGTTTCGGGGAACCTGGGGAGATATCCATCATCTCCTAGCACACTGCACACCGAAGGGAAGCCTGCCTAGCTTCCATTGCTGGCGTGAGGGTCAGCGCGGGCTGGATGGGGACACTCTGCAGACACCTGGTGAGTTCTTACCCAAGAGGGAGAGCTGTTTGGACATCTGGGCCGAGACATCCATGCCGTTTTTCAGCCACGTGATTCTGGGCGTGGGAATGCCCTCTGCATGGCACCTCAGGCTGGCCGCCACCCCGGGCTCCTGGGCCTGCGTTTCTGGATAGACACGGATGACTGGCGGCACTGTGGGTGAGAACCAGTGCAGGTTAGAGACCTTGTGCTCGCGGCCCAGTCCCAACACTGTCCCAGAGCGGGAGCCAGCCGGTAACTGGGGCGTTCTCTTTTTCGCCAGCTTGCAGCCATCCTCTTTGGCAGCCCCTGGTCTGAAAGAAGGCTCTGTGATGCGCATGGCAAACAGTAAACATGTCAGGCGTCGCACCTGTAATTCATGGCTTCCGTCACTATTCTAAATATGATTGGAAAGACATCTAAATATTTAATGCCATTCAGCTGCTGCATGTAAAGAGTAACAGTCCTTGGAATTTATTTCTGAATGAATAAAACTCAGATATATTATTTCTGTCATTGGAGAACGGCTTAATTCCTTTAGGAAATGCTTCAAGAAGCACTTACGGGCACTGACAGGCAGGGTGCTGATTACATCACTACTCTGTTAAGTCCACTGACTTTCCAGTGGGTCATGGTTATCTATTCACCTCCCAAGCCCTGGAACCCAGGTGAAAGGCCAGGGAGGGACTCGGTCCAGGGCTGCAGCAGCTAAGCATGGGGCTGAGGGTGTGACGCAGCCCTGTGGCCTGCTCAGCAGGGGGAGGTGGGGCTGGGAACTCCCATGGTCCCCCAGACCTTCTCACACAGGCTGGCTGTGGGAGACACTCTTCCCCGGGGATCATCTGCCTGCTCTTAGCTCTGGGCCCAGGAAATAAAATCAACAGCATTTCTAGCAGCAGTGAGGGATTATAGGTGCATACATCTTACTCTTCGTATTCCCAAAAAGGATTTGTGGGAGTTTATGTCAATCTCCCACATGTTTTGGAGATGGGGGAGATGGATTCTTCCTCAGGGAGACAACCCTATGTCCCTAGGGGGATCTGGGAGTTTCCGTTGTCCAATATAAAAGGCATCCCAGGGCTTTAGGAGAGAGGATTTTCCTTGGGATCAGAGCACACAACAAAGTTATGCATCTGTAGGGACACAACGGCGCAGCGAGGTAGCAGGATTCCAGTGACCCATGCTTGGTTTGGCAGAGGGCAAGAGGAAGTCCACTGCCCCACTGGAGAAATAAACTACAATTCCTGTGATCAGTTCAGCTTGAGTTTCTAACCTTTCCTTGGCCAATCTGGGGGGCCAAAAATTGAGGGGCAAAGGTGAAATCCAAATGGACAACTGCCAAAGGCCACGATCTCGACCTCACACGGCCCACAGCTGTGCCAGTAACACGAGCTCAGAGTGCCCTGGCCCAGCAGCACAGAGACCCAAGAACAGGACTGTTTGGTCGCCTCCCTAGTCTCTCTTTGTTCCGTGTCGTCTGGGCAGAGCCTCGCGATGTGGCAGAAGGGCCTTGTCCCAGGCCTGGCCGGTGGGGACAGATGCGGAGAGCGGGGCTGAGCCCAGCTCACCCGAGGACTGCGTGGGACACAGATGGGCCTCTCCTTTCTCTACCTCCTCGCTTCAAAGAGGAAGAAAGAAACTGCCCTGCATCCCTGGGGACAGGCAGGAGCAGGGCTCTGGTTGAAAGGACAGAGTTAGGGCTGGCAAGTTATAATGGGGAGCACAGAGATGGTGCTTGGGCCCAGAAGCGCTGGCTGTTGGGTGACTGCAGAGGACAGAGAATAGGTGTGGGCAGGACTTGGGTGCCCCTAAGCCTGGGCCTTTACTAGATCACCTCCCTGCGAGCCTGCCTGGAAGCCCCAGCGTAAACCTGAAGGACGTACAAGAGCAACAGAGAATCGGAAATGGATGACTCAGAAAGCCAAGGAAGAGTAACTGGTAAGTAAATTTAAGAGCAGGGTGTTTACAAAAACCAGTAAATTTGCCAAATTCTGGTAAGTTTAATACATGAAATAGAGAAAGAGCACAGAGTGTTATTAAAAATGTGAGCCTACCGTATTCAATTATGGGTAATGAATGGGAAAATCTTAATGAAATGGATCATTTAAAAGGAAACTTCACTGCGGTATGGGCAGCACCCGACACCAGGCTGGCTTCTCAGAAGCACTGGCTGCACCGCATTGAATCGAGGGAGCTTTGCAAAATCCACGAGGCTCATGAGCGTGGCACTGAGCTCAGAGACCCCTCGGCCTGCATTTGGTATCAGAATACCTGGCAGCGTCTGACCAGGCAAAGCGCCCACCACTGCTATCACTTTCCGAGTTTCCTCCTCAGCTGCCCTGCTGCTGCTGGCACAGCGTTTTCCTTTCTAGATAAATTCAGAATTGTTCTGCCAAACCCCAACCCATTGACTTAAACTGGAATTAGATTAAACATATGGCTTAATTTGGCATATCATGTGTCTTAAAAGACTCCAAGAACCTCTCTCTCCAATTATTGGAGACTTTATGGCATCGGGAGGCTTTGTACCCTCTCTCACCCAGGTCCACTCTGGTTCCTGCCTGGTCACCTCTCATGTGTACAAGGGAGTTTTTAATTTTGTACATTTTGCTACCAAGTCCTTTACCGAACTAATTAACCCTTACCATTTCTTTGGCCTGTCACCTGATGGATATCCTCATAAAATACTGTTTTTCTCCATTCTTTTACTTTTTGTGCGGCTCACCTTTTGCCTTCTGCTGACAGCACCCTGCATACCCTCAGGGTCTAATACTGCCGCCTTTCGCTTCTCCTGTGTCCTCTTTCCTGACTTAACGTTTCCTCATCCCTAGAAGAAGGGTGCTGTTCTTTCTTTTTATAGAGATATTCTTCATTGCGAGAGGAGAATGCCATTTGGTTCCTATTTTATTGAGTTTTTTCCCCCCCAAGAAATGGATTTTAGATTTTTTTTCAGTGTCTAGTGAGAGAATCAAGTGGCTTTTCTTTTGACTGCCTTGGACTTTGGATATGATTAAAGATTTCCTAATAGCGGGGCTTTTCGGCTGAGGAAGGTGACAATACCCAAGTGCGCTGTGAGGATCGCTCCCAGGGGGAGCTTTGGGGGAACAGCGGCTGAGACCAGAGACAGCCTCCAATTCCCCCCAGCTCACACGGGAGAAACTTCCATTCTGGAAGCCTGCACCGCCTGCCTGTGTGTGGGCACAGGGTTTGTACAGGAAAATGGGAACCCGGGCGATGGGCCTTGGGTCTCCACAGCTGGCCTGTGGACTGGCACTGATGACCCGCCTGGGCCTCAGCCCTGATCTTTGACAGGAAGCATTTTCACCTGACTGCCGGCGCTGGCTTTCCTAGTTCCTGATACTCCTGGGCCTCCTCTTTCCTAACTCACTTTGCTAGCGTTTTGCTCATCTCCAGGCTGTGGAGGTTGGAGAGGTTGGAGTCCTGGGTCTCTGGCCGTCCTCTGACCTGCGTCCGCCCTCTGGTGACCTGACCCGCTGCGCTGCTCTGCAGTCTTACCTCCAGCTCAGATCTTACCGCAAACCCCAAACTTAGCAATCGAGCTGCCAGCACGACACCCCGAGGGTGTCCCTGCCAGAGACGCCCCATGTTCATAGTGTCCCTGAGGGCCCTGCTCTTTGTTTCCCACACTGGCTTCTCTGCTCCCCCATCTCAGTCACTAACTCCCCCTCTTCCGGTTGCTCAGACAGAACAATTAGGCTTGCCGTCCTCCTGCCTCAGCCTCTCACTGTGCTGGGATTACAGGTGTGCACCATCCTGACTGGCTGGTAAATTTTTTTTTAATCACTCCTCTTGGGGTGGCTTCTCGCCTCTGCTTAGAGGACGGAAGTGTTCTCTGGGTGACGTGAGGAGAGAGCCGCTGAGCGGGGAGGAACAGGCCAGGCTGGAACGAGCACCGACCCACCCTGCTAGCTATGGGCAGACCCGTGGCCTCTACGACGTTGCAGTCTGGAGCAGGCCTCTGCCCAGGCCAGGGAGGGGGCTGCTTGGGCCTCTGAAGCCCCCAGGGAACCTGCCAGGACAGGGCCAAGGACACAGCTCCCTCCCAGCCACACTGCAAGCATGCAGCGTTCCCTTTTGCTCCTAATCTGCCCTCTTCCTTTTGAGTTGATCTGAAATTAATACACCCAGGGCAAACACATTTATTTTTCTCTGACCTTTGCAGCATCTTCCAATGAAAACACAACACAAAGGCCTGCTCTCTTTGGGAAGCATCTATCATGGGCCGAGGTGAAAGGCAGTGTAAATATGTCCTTAAGTAAGAGGTGCAGCCACAGAAGAACCCAGCTGGAGTAATAAACAGATTTAGAGATTATCATGGTCTCCTAGGAATGAATCGCTACGTGTCTGAAGTATGGGGAGGTTGAGGTTATTTTTAATTTAATAGATTCATCATTTATGTCTGAAGTTCTTGCTCCTCCTACAAAAGAATGTGGGAGGTTTGCACAAAGTTATAAATCATGTCAGGGTTTGGGCTCATCTCCAGGGGCCTGGACTATGGGGAAGTTATACTAATAATCTGGGAGGAGAAGCTGTCTGAAAGGGTTCCCCTGGGCAGCCAGGTCGGGGAAGAGACATCCTGGAAGATGGTGGCCCAGGCTATGTGAGGGGCTAGGCCTTCCTACTCTGTGCTCTTTGTCCACCAAGTACTGTTCCAGGGAGCTGAATTAGTTAGAAATATTACAGGTGGGAAGATATGGCTGGGCCCTCGAAGAAGCCAGTGCAGAAGCCCAGATACCTTGCAACCTTGGAGGAGACAGACACCTCTGCTGGGGGCCAGCTCTCAAGACAAAAAGCAAAATAAATGCAACCACAAGCAAAGGATAAACATCAGGGATTGATACTCTAAATAGGTGTGGATCACCTTGAGGAAGCCAGGAGTCACCATCCCAGCCCCCTACAGGAAGTGTCACTGCTCTTTAAGCATGCCCACTTGCTACTAGACTCGCTTCCCCATCTGTGCCTGATTTGGTCAGTTTACCTGAACAGTTAACCTTATTGATTGACCAGAGTTCTGTCCCACCTCATGCCTGTCTGTCTTGCAAATTCCCATTTTTCTCCACCTGGGACCCGTCTTACCTCGTGGTTTTTGCTCTGTAGAAGTCCGTGGAAAAGACAGTCTTTGGCAACCCTCTCGGGACCCCTTCTGTCTCTCAGACAGAAGCTTTCTTTCTGTCAATAAATATACTCTGCTCTTCACCTCCGTTGTTCCTAAAATTCATTCTTCGAGGTTAGAGAACATGAACTTGTACAGGACATCTAGTAGGTTGGGAGTTTCACTCCCCTATATCACTACAATTAAATATGGCTTGAGATAAACCCCTAAACATCTGGGCTGCCCACCTCGGACTTTGCCTTGTATCTCACACCAGGCATTTCCTAAGCATTTTATCTATGTATATGTCATTCAGCTCCTAGGGCAAGAGATATGATTGTTAAGGTGCATTTCTTTATGCACTTGTTTACCCATTTGAGACTTCCATTAAGAAAACAGCAGCCCAGATGTCACCTGACCTGGGATGCAGGATTCCCTGGCTCATGGTTCCTGTCTTCAGCCTTGAGTCTGCTCTGTGCCTTGGGGGAAGTAACCTAGACCTGCCCTGCCCACGGGGCTGGCCTGATTCCTCTCTTGTCCCTCTCATCCCCCATTCTTGTCTTCCTTTTGACCAAGGAGAAAAGCTGGAGGGAGGGGACACAGTGACACTGTCTGCATAGCGGGGGCAGACAAGCAAGCCAGACAATCTGTTGGGCTGCAAGGAGACCAAGTGGACTCCACAGCACAGCCGGGTAAGGGAGTGAACATCATGGAAGCTGTTCCAGGTCATCTTCTGTGTTCCTGACTCAGGCCCAAGTGGAGGGCGACAAGGAGCGTTTTGAGCAGAAGAAAGCTACTGTTTTCTCACTCCTCTCCCAGGGCTCCTCGGCAAGGTGTGGGCCTCCCCCCCCCCCCCCCGAGCACCATGGTGCCCCCTCTACCCTCCAGCTCCCTCTGGCTGAAGGCTTCCTTCCCTAGCATGAGGCTGCAGCCTGCAAAGAGGCTCATGCCCGCTGCCTCCTGGAGCCTCTTGTGGTGACCCAGCCCCTTTCTGGGACTCAGCCCAGGACCTGCTGAGCCTTATGGGAGCTGGGGATAGCGAGCCATGTGGTCTCCGTCCTCAGTCCTGCCTGAGTCTCACTGCCACTAGCTTTTGGTCAGATTCTCACCAGGCAGCTGTTTCAGCCCAGGCCTGAGCTCTACACCGGGCACAGAGACAAAGGTGTCCCCATCCCAGAGCAGCCCACAAAGACTCGCCACCCCTGCATCCCACATCTGGATTCTCCAACAGCGACCCTGCAGTATCCCAACATGGTAGGCAGCAAGTCTTGTGTGATTTAGTCAAGCTCTTCCCAGTAGCTATGAACTGTGGGGGAGTCAGGGGAAAAACCACCTCATCTGTGAGCCCCAGGTCCCTGTCTGTAAGTCAGGGACAGCCCGAAGCAGCTCTGCAGGGAATGCTCCTTGCTTCTGTATCTTTCAGACCATCCTATTCTTAGCATCTTTACACACATGCACACGCACAGAGACATGCACACACATACTTCATTCTAAGTCCATTACAGCAAGCTGGCCTTCTATACTACTTTGAAAACCCCATCTTTTTCCAGGGTCATACCCTTGGGATGTGCCAACAGGCCCATTCAGCATGGGTGGTCCCACAGCTATTGGGTTTGAATGTCACATCAAGGACCTGGGCATCAGCCCGTCCAGGAACCTCATGGACTCCTGAAGCTACAGCTACCATAAGGGCTTGGCCCGGCCACTTGGGGCCACACACGGTGAAGCTGACTGCCATGCACAGATTTCCCACCGCACCTTTTTCCATTCTCTTGACAGCCCCTTTGGCTGGAGAAGTCTTTAAATCTCCTGGCAGTTAGGGAATGGATCTCAAGTGGCCTCTTTCTGGATTTCAGCCAGAAGGTTCTGCTCTTTGTCTAGATTGCCAGGGCTCCGGGCAGCCTTGCAGCCGAGCCTCAACAATGGCTGGACAGGTGCAGGGTGGTGGGGGTGTTAGCTGGGCCAGACAGACCTTTCCAGGACCAGCTCAGGAGTCTACATCTCAGCTGTTGGCAGGAGCCAGCGGTCTTTAAACCCCAAAACACACATGGTGCTTGGGAACCTTGTTCCAGACTCTGCACTGGGAGGAACTGGATCCATCCATGTCCTGAGCTCAGTTTCAGAATTCAAGGGGAACTGGGGGCAGAAGAGCCCTCCCAGCACTAGGGCCTTGCAGCTTGATTTATCAAGGAATTTAAGACTACAGAGTTTCTTCCAGAGGCTGGAGACAACTGTAGGGTCTCAGCTGTGAGCTATTCAGGCCCCTGTCCGCTTCCAGTTTGCTTTGGAGGAATTAAAGGAAACCCATGGCTCGAGTCCTCTCCTCCTGCCCTTGGCTCTTGCAAAGTGGGGGGCAGGATGGGGGAGGGGCTGGACCGGAAGTCTTGGCATCTCTGTCAATGGCACCTTCCCAGAATTCTCTGAGGCTCTGAGCCACCTGGAGGAAACCATGCGAAGTTGTTTGCAACCATCCATTGAGAGCATCATCAGCCTCAGCTCACCAGCTGGCCCTGGACCAGCCTTGCTGGAGGAGTCCCAGACGCTGCTGGCTGCACAGTAGCCTGGCCCCTGAACCCCAGCCTGGCTGGCTTGTCTGAGTGTATCATAACAAGGAGCCCTTGGGTTATGTCTGTGAAACCCAGATTCTTCACAAAGGCCGGCCAACAAGCACAGCCACGAAACCCAGAGGATTAATCCCTGCAGGGTCCCTGCTCAGGGGAAATGCTAATAAGATATGGCTTGGGGATGTGAAAGTAGGAAACATCCTCTAGGGTCCCTGCAGAGGTGAGGTGAGCTTGGGGATGTGCCTGGAAAACACAGGCTGTCACACTCATGGGAGGGATTACACTTGGGAGGGATTAATTCTTCCCACTCTCTGTCAGCACGGGGACCTGAGGATGAAGGAAAACCTTCCAAACCTGCTATGTCTGTCCTAGCTCAGCCTGATGGCACCCTGTGCTGACCCTGCCTATGGACCCTCCCTGTCCATATATTGCAACCCATTCTATAGGCGAGTTTCTAGGAAAAGTCACTTGCCGGGAATCACAAAACTAGCAGGAGTTATCTCGGAGCCAGAGGATGACTTGAGTCACAATAAGACCTGTCTCTATGGACCTGGCCACTGTGGACCCTAAACAAGCCATGTCTCCCCCACAGTTCTACAGCAGATCAGCACCCCAGGGAAGTTAGCACTGTCCAGCTGAATCCCTCCCTCCTGCCCCCCCAGAAGTTCTGAGCAGGCCGTGCATGCACCAGGGAATGATGTGGAGGCACCAGGTCAGCCCCAGATCCTGCGAGCCAGCTGGATTGGGGCTTCTAATCCGAGTTATTATAGCATGAGTTCCCAGTGCAGACCTCTGGGACTCAGAGTGACAAAGCATTAAATACAAGCGGGTACACTCACCTTGCCTGAAGGCGGCCCCCTGAGGCTCAGAGAGGGGACCAAGCCCAGGATACCACCCCTCCCGGTTGCATGAGGGATGTTCTGGTTCCAGGCCACCCGGAAGCAGTGGTGGAGCTGAGCCGATTTCTGCTCTGGTTGGAACTAGAGACCGGGCAGCTCCCCACACTATGTCACCTGCAGGGTGTGCGCTGCACTGTGGGGCTGTGGGGGCCTCGGCAGCTTAGCCTGACTTGTCTGCATTGCTCACCGCCCTTTTTGGGTCACCTGAGAAGACTTTGCATCAAGCCCAATGGGAAAACTAGTCCACAGCTCCAGCCCTTCCCGACAGCGGCATTTTGGGGGATGCTTTGGGGAGACAACATGCATGGAGCCATTTACTAACCATTCACCTGCAGGACGTGGGTCTGGAACAGCTGCTCGTGGCCTGAAGCGTGGCAGGTGTAATTGCCCATGTGGACGGTGGTCACCTTGGTGATGTACAGGGAGTCCTCTTCTCCGAAGTCCTGCATGGGCACAAGTGACAAGGAGATTGGCCTTTCAGTCCAGTAGGCTGGGAGGGACGGCAGCATATCTTGCTTTCCAGGAAAACAGAACTCTTGTACCTATGAGAGAGTTGCTTCCTGCCCACCCCTGTGCCCAGCCAGAGCGGCCTGCAGGGTCATCTCTCCTTACCCGGCCCTATAATTCATTTACCATCTTGATCACCGTCACCACCTCCCCCGCTATGCTCTCCCCAGCTTTAGCTAAAATAGCTCTGGTGCCCCTTCGGCTCCTTACGCTGCGTGCATCCTTCGTAGGGCCCTGCCCCCTGATAGGGAGCTCGGACTGTGGAGAGAGGGCGCAGAGCAGAGCGGAGTTGGCAAGCTTTAGTAAAGATCTACACAGGAAATACTTTCCGCTTTGTGAGTCGGATGACTTTTGTTACTACGGTGATGGCATGAAAGCAGCCCTAAGGATGCGCACGTTCTGAAGCATGGCTGCGTCCATGACACTGTTGGAAGGCAGTGAGGGGGGAAATCACGGGCTGTAGTCTGCCTAGCCACCGTGTGATCTCACTGGGACCCCCAAATTCTTCCAGGCAGCTTGTAGGGACCTGAGTAACCTAGGGAAGGGCAAACAAACAAGAAAAGAGAGCCAGAATGCCTGGGGTGTCTGTGGATCTCTTTGGGTAGTGCCCAGGAAGGGACAGACAGGAGCCACCAGCTGTGTCCTGCCCAAGGCCAGGGCCACCTGTGGGAGTGTCAGGATGGGAACCGCCTGGAATTCCAGGAGACCCCCGACGGGGTTTGGGTTTAGCTTCCAAACCTCTCTGAGGAAATGGCCCTCACACCGGAAGGTGAGGAAACAGCCTGTGTGTGATGGTCTGTGTGTGAGTGGGGTGGGAACCCCAGTGGCTGGGATTCAGCAGGACCATGGTTTGGTTTGGGACCTGCTATTCACTAAATCCCCTCTCCCTGCCTGCCCCACTCCCAGTCCCCCTGGGCTGGTGTTCGGCCTGTCCTCTGGGGACAGGTATGTGTGTTCATCTGCCTGATGGAATGTTGGGGGATCCTGCAGGAGAGTTCAGGAGGACACACTTTCTCATGATGTGTGTGTGTGTGTGTGTGTGTGTGTGTGTGTGTGTGTGCACGTGCGCGTGTTCTTTTTCCCGGTATTATTAAAAGAAAACACAAAACCTTTTGAACCCTGCAGCAAATCCTGAACCATCCCTCCTGCTACCCCTGGCCCTTTCTGGTTCCCTCTTCCACGGAGGCACTGCCATGGCAGGAGAGGAAGTCCAGCTACCATGCACCGGGCAGCCCTGAGGGTCCCTCACTAGCTCCTGCCCCTGACGCAATGCTGCTTGTACCACAGGCCCCTCCCCCCCATGACCACCACGGGTCCCCTTAGAAACGCTTTCTGGATAATTAGCTCAGCTGAGGGTGTAGAGGGTGGGAGGGGGAGGCACAGGGGCAGGGCAGAGGGAGGAGGGTGGGTGAGAGGCGCCTGCCCCTGCCCCTGGCTGTCAGCATCAGAGGCTGACACTCTGATGCCGACACTGTACTCCCAGGGGAGCACTGTGCTGGAGGGGCCGCCTGAACCTGCGATTGACTGGAGCATCACTCAGCTTAGAAGAACCCCATTCCTAACATTCCATGGAAACCTTGATAATAAAAATAAAGCAGCAGATAGCTGATTTGTCCTGTGTCATAACAAAGCCATTGAAGGCTCATACCTGAGCTGCTTATGAAAAGTTAATGGCCAGTCAGCGCCGGGATGACACATTTGTAGTCTAAGCAATTTCTGGTGTCAAAATCCAAGCCTGGAGGAAAATGTTGCTCAGGAGTTTGGGGTGGGGGTGGGAGAGGCATCCCGAGAAGCCTGGGAGGGGGTGCAATCCCCCTTCAGGTCACCGAGGAGCTCCCACACTACCAGTGCCAGTGCATTTGGACCCAGGGCAGATTCTGTCCCCAAAGGTGGCTTCAGGGAAGGAGACTTTTTTTCTTGTCAGTATCCCCAAGGGGTGCAGTGTAACAGCTATTTACACAGTGTTTACATTGTGTCAGGTAGCGTTAGTCACTAGAGATGGCTTGAAATATACAGGAGGATGCATGTAGGTGATATGCAAATTCTACACCATTTTATACAGAAGATTGGTGCATCTGGAATTTGGCAGCCCCTGCGGTCCTAGCCCATCCCTCGAGCATATCAAGGCATGACTGTATCACCTCCTTTAAAATCCCAGGAAGCCCCTGCAAACCCCGGGCCACATAGCAGAGCCAAACCAAACACCAGTCTCCACAGAGTGGGTCCGTAGGGCTCTCCCTGGGAATATATTCCAGTTCGAGTTTCCCGAACCACGTCTCCTGTGATTGCCTTGGGCACAGCCACTGTCTTTCTATCCCTGGGGGCCAGTGTGTGTGGGGGCTCAGAGAACCCCTCTCCTCCCCAAAAGGCCCGCATGGTCCTTTCTTTTGTCTTTTTGAGACAGGGTCTCACTGTGCAGTCAGGCTGACCTTGACTCACTTTGTAGCCCAGGCTGGTCTTGAACTTGCAAGGATCCTCCTGCCTCAGCCTTTCCAGTGCTGAGATTACAGGTGTGCTCCCCCACACCCAGCTAAGCAGATGGTTTTTTGGGTGCCTCCTTGTGCAGGCCACCCTCAGGCCTCAAACCAGGAGAAGCTGCAGGGGAATCTGGCCCAGCCCCTCAGCCACGCCCCTCCAATCCAGCCCGGGCTGAGCCTCCCACCCGCTGCCCCTTCCTTCCTGTGCCTGCCGGTCTGTCTTGCTCACTCCCTGAACTTCAAGTGGGCCTGAGTGTCACCCAGGCTCCGCTGGTGAGCAGCAGCCTCTCCCGGTCGCCTCTCCCACCTGTTGCACGGTCCTGGCCGAGGTGCGCCTCTTGGGTAGCTGTGTATGTGTGTGGGGTACATCGCCCATGGGAACAGCACGTTCTGCAGGGTGCCCGATGGCTTTTCTGTAAGCTCAGAGCCCATGGCGCAGGCTCTGGGGAGAACTTGACTGTAATAAATAAAATACTGTCCCTGGGCTAAAACAATAGGCATCATATAATTATAGAACGAAGTGCATATTGTTTTCTGGATGTGAATATTGGCTACAGAAATCAAATTTACCTCACTGGATGGGACAGAAGGACTTTAAAATTGATTTATAAGAGGCCACATAAAACCAAATCTGCAGTTCCTCCTCTTCTGAATGTTCTGTGAGATGTGTCTGAATGCTGCTATCAATGCTTGATTGCATCTCTGTAATTGTCTTTTTATGGATAGCTTTTCCCCCTCTGATGCATAGAAATGTATTAGAAAATCAAGGTTCCTTCCAGAAATAAACAGATGCCAGATTGGACTGTTCTTTGTATTGAGGCACATCCATTTTGGGGAAAGAGACAGTTTTACTTAAAGATATGGCTTCTGCCTTTTAAAATGCTATTTTCTAAGTATCTGCTTTTATTAAAGAAAGTAATTAAATGAGACATAAGTATTAAACAATAGCGGAGATGCCATGGGGATGCTGTCCTGGTGACCTGGAGCGTCAGGTATAAATAGCGTCTGGTATAAATAACTTGAAAATGAGCCATCCGTGCTGTGTCTGGTGACTGCCAAACATGAGGCCTCGGGGGTGAAATCAGAGCTCAGGCTGGCAATATTTTCCATGTTACAAGTTAAAGCTCAGAAACATTACTGTTGGTCTTTCCCAAACTTGCTCTTTCCAGGAGCATGCTCAGCTCTCTCCGGGGAAGAGAGAGCACAGGTGGGGTCTCTTCTGTCCCCCAAGATGTCTCTCACCCCAGCATCTCATCCGTGCAAACTTCTCATCCGCCATGAGTCCCTGAGATGAGTGGCACGGGGTATGCGGTGACAGAGACATCTACAGTCACACAAGCGCACACATCCACTGTCCAGACCACGATGCAGTCACACGCCTGCCTGATGAGCGCACAGACCCACGTGGGGAATGTGGCATGAACCTATGTGAGCCGGCACGTGTGTACCACACCCTGCCTCCCTATGCCAGCCACCTCACCCACACTGGCCTTCCTGTGCTGTCCACTATGCAAGGGTGTGTGGGGTCAGTCCTTTCGGTGAGGGCTGCTGTGGATACATGTGCACCAGGGTAGGGGTCAGAGGCATGGAAGCAGCCTCTGACAGAAAGCTACGGGCTGCTCCAGGATCTCAGGGTGGATGTGGGCACTGGTGGACTTGATGGCCACGGTCTACATGGATGTGTTTCATTTCTGTGTAGCTCCATCTGGTATCCAGTGAGCTGTGTGGTTTGTGCTGCACGACAGAAGCTCAAGTCCAGTTCACTGAGCGAACGGAGGTATGTTAGCTAGTATGCTGCCATGAGGGGTGCACAGCCATGAGAGAGGACAGACAAGTGTTAATCAGCATTGCTCCAAGGGAGGGCTGGCCTTGCCCCACTCCTGGAGGGGCTGCCTAGGCCCTCGCTTGGACCATCCTGGCTCCTGGGGGCTCTCAGTTCCTTGGGGTCCTGAGCTCATGCAGGATGCTCTGCCTTCTGAGGGCTGCAGACTAATGGCCCGGCACGTGATCAGGGAGTGCTGGGGCTCTGGGCAAAGGGCTGGGCAGGCTCTATTGGCTGGCAACACTTCGCACACAGCCACACCGACGCCAGGAAAGCAGTGTGTCCCTGACTCTCCTTGAGAGGCCGTCAGAAGTTCGGGGTCCTCCTGGACCCTGCTGGGTGGGCTTCTCCTCTTAGCTGATTTTAATCTGTGTCTTGCTCCACAAGAAACTGTAAACCGGAGTGTGACAGCTTTCGTGAGTTCTGTGACTCTATAGCAAATCGCTGACCCTGAGGGGGACTGGGCACCCCGACTCCCTGACTCCCAGCTGATGTTGGAACGAGGCGGGTTTGTATGTGCTGCTCTCCCTGCCTCACTGTCGTCTCTGCCCAGGATGCAAGTGTCCCCCGAGGGCCTGCATTCCAGACTGTCATGACGTAGGGGCAGCAGTTCATGACCCACTGAAGAACGGGGCTTTGGATCTTTGGGCAATCTCCTGGTAAACCCTGGGCATAGGAGGGAACACAGGCAGCAACCAGCTGAAGTCCTGGAGGCCTTTTAGCCCACCTGGGAAGCCTCTATCCCTCCTCCTGGAGACCCTCGGATCGGGAGACCCTGGAGAGGGAAGGGAGGTCTTACAAAGCAGACCAGCTCCTGGCTTCAGCCTGGGTCACACGCACATGGTGGATTACTATCCTTGGAACACTGCAGGGACAGTTTGGTTAATTTTCTTCCTCTAGCTCATATCTGGGACCACGAAGACTTCCTATCAGGCATTTTCTTCTGACTGGGTGTTTGAAGACGCTTATACATTACTAGAAGGAGACCAGGCGACAGCCGTGAAAACGGAAATGTTCTCTTCCGAGCACTTCCCTTACCAATGGATGCTGTGTCGTAAGCATGGTAAATACAGCATGTGGGCAGCGGACGGCTGAATATGAGTGTCCTTGCACAGGCTGGCGAAGGGGCACTGGACAGGGTGGGTACTTGGCTGGCTCTGGGGCTTCAGGTCTGCTCCTTATTCCTGGAAGGAACGGGCTCTGCCCGGAGGTAGCCGAGAGAGGAGCGGTCAACTCCCTCCACCACGGGCCTCTGGAGGCAGCAAAGAGGTCAGCTCAGGGAGGCAGAGGCTCTGCGGACAGTCATAGGCTCTGCATTCAAGTCTAGAAGCTAAACCAGAACCTTCCTGAGGTACCTCCACGTTAGAGACAGGGCTGGAAGTAGCCACTGGCCCCAAGTCAGGCCCTGAGGCCGAAAGGGCAAAGAAATGACCTAGAGAAAGCGACCCAGAAACCCCAGGCCAGATGAGCCAGTCGGGCAGAGCTACCTCTCAGATTCCACGGGTTGGTGCACCACGGTGCAGGAGTGCGTCTTCTAGATGGATCCAGACTAACACGATCTGTTTAAACACATTCAGAGCTCAGGGGCTCAGATGTTTAGAAAAACCAATGTCTTCCATCCAAGCTGGAGAGGACTGACCACACCCTGGAAAAGCTTCAAGCACAGTACTATCCAAGATTTTGAAACAAAACACTCTGGGCCATTTACTGAGATGATTTTAATTTGGAACTCACAACCACCGTGTATGGTGTTGCAAACACCCTTCCGTGGTAATCAACCCCTCTCATCTTTTTACAATGGCTTTGTGACTGGTTCGAATAAAGATAATAAAAATTAAATGAGTCAGGAGCTCATCAATCATTGTCTTTTGGTCTTTTTTAATAACTCATTTCCAAGGAAACACTTACACAGAGCATGTTCTTCATTAGAATTATTTGTTCCTGGCTTTTATACCACTTAGACGTGGGAAAAGTGAACCTTTTAACATACCCTTCAAACAGTGCCACAGACGCTTTCTTCTAATGGGCTTTGTGTTTCTGCCTTCATCACTGTACTCTGCCTGCTGACATTTGAAAGCCCCCAAAGTGAGATCCGGTTTAAAAAAAAACTAAAAACCACATACATAACAAAAAAGAGTGGTTCTTTCAAGTTGTTCCAAATATGCCAAGTGTATGGTGGGCTCTTTTTAAAAAAAATGAAAAATATGACAGACTACTGTTTTTTCTCCCTGAGAATATCCTGGGCAAACAATTCCACATGCTGGTCTTGGGGTCTGCCACGCCCCTTAATTACTGGAGCCACAGGCTCCATGAACTGAGAGCCCAGCTCGGCACCCTAACCCTCATGCCCAGTGGCATGCATGTGGCCCTGTGGCACTGCTGTGGCAAAGCCAGGCTCTAGGTGTTACAACCCAAGAGCCAGGAAGCCAGAGAGCGTGAGCCAGGAGGGCAGGCCGGTTGCAGAGTCCTGGGCACGCTCCACTCTCTGCTGAGGTGAGGACCCCACCTGCCTTGGGGTGCCCTGCTAAGGGCTGAGGACAGGTGAGCAATTGACCAGGATGGAACTGGGTGCTGCACACTGGAGCAGCTCAGTATTCACGATAAAAACACTGGTGGCCACACAAGCGGTGACTCAGCTGTCATCCACTCTCTGTGACTTTGGGAGTCTGCTTCTGTCCCTCTCCTGGGCAAGGGGCTGGACCTGTAAGGTCATAGGGGCAGTGAGGATGACAATTATGAAGCAGAAGGAGTTGGCGTGGGTGAGGAGGGACATGGGGATTGCTTTGGGGACTGGTGCTTGCTCTATCCTGAGAGGCTGCTGTGCTCTCTGGGTGGTTAGACACCCACAGAGCTGAGGCACCGAGCAGAGTGAGATGGCGCCCCCAGTCCAGCAGCGTGTAGGGGGTTCAGGGGCCAAGAAACACACCCCACCCACAATGCGCCCCACTCTAGCCCCAAAGATCATGTCTAGGTCCCCAGGAGATGGGGGCTGGTAGGGAAAGGTGTGGTATGGGTCAGAAAGTGAGGTGCTGGCTTGGCGCTGGGGAGACCCTGATGTCCTAGAGGGCCCAAAGTCCCTTTCTTATTACTGGGCTGTATGATCTGAGGGTGCAGAGAGTCCCCAAAGGCTACCCCCTCCCTGCTTCGCAGCAGCCCCTGTATCTGGCCAGAGAGTTCTCCCTGAGATAAGTGTCCATCATGGTCTCTGGTTGCAGGAGACACAGGTCACTTGCATCTTGGGTGTGGCAGCACGGTGTCATCTGCAGGCTGGGACAATTCTGTGCCCACAGTGGGGCCCACAGGCTGCATGTCAGGAACTGGAAGCTCCTCTCGGGGAGGCCTGGCCCACACCCAGGGAGGCAGAGATCAGGGCACTGCTGTGGCCACCCCAGCTTAGCTTCTGGGGCCAGGGCAGTGGCTGTGTGTGTGTCCCCATGTATGTGCACCCATGCACACAGGGCCAGGTTGGAAGCACCCCTAACCCTAACCCTGCTTTGGTAAAGAAATGGACTGCGGACCAGAAAGTAAATTCCAAGCCGAACTTTCTTTGCCCCGGGGACACTGGAGGAGTGAAAACTATCCATTCTTCATCGCGTGAACAGAAACATCATTCAGAAAACCACAGGGAGAGGCACTGTGGCCTGGGCCCCTGCTGCCTCTGGGGAGTGGGGAGCACCAGTCTGGGGTTTGCTGTCCCCTTCTCTGCCCTGGGGCTGACAGGAGGAAGCAGGAGTCTGCAGGGGCGGAGGCACGGCGGATGGGGTGGGCTTCTGCAGGCTGTGTGCCGGCCAGGCCACTGGGCACGGATTTTGGACAGAGGCGCTGGTGGCCTGAGCTGATGCTGCTCCACTCCGCCTGTGCCAGGATGGAAGAGGACAGAGAGAGGACAGAGACCGAGAGCACCAGCAGGGCTTCCCATACTTTGGGTCCCACATCACTTATGACCCTTTTAGTCTGCAAAGGCTTGGCAGACTCCTGCGGCACCTACAGTTGAGCACGTCACCTCCGCCCTAAAATCTGTAGATCTCTTTTGCTCATGGGGGTGCAGCCAAGGCTTTTGTTTTGCATCTTCCTCAGCCCTCGGTACTGAGAATGGAATCTAGAGGACTCTTATCACAGAGCAGCACCCTGGCCCTTCTTTTTTTATTTGTACAAACATTTATTGATTGATTGATTGATTGCACAACCTTGCAAAGTCACTCAACTTGTCCAGGCAAGGCTTGAACTTGATCCTCTTGCCTCAGCCTCCCAGATGCTGGGCTTAGGGTCGTGGGCACCACACCTGGTTAGCCCAGGCTCTTCATGTTCACATGCAGGCCTTTTGTACTCTGGCCCCAACCTGACCCTCCAAGCACCTCTCTCCTGATTATCCTGGTCACTCAAGCAGGCTCCTTTCTCCAGCCCTCAGACAAGGCACCTGTAGAAGCCTTCGGGGTCCTGTGGCTCGCTGGCACTGAGGGGGTTCCGCTCCCGCCTGGCTGCCTGCCCGGGGACAGTGAGTCCTCGGTGCCGCTGACAGCAGTGGTGCTCTCCGAGGAGTCTTAGGCAGCCTGCCTGCTCGCCTCCGGGCGGCAGGGGTGCGCGTGCTTTCTGATCAAATATTACTCTGCTGCTCAAGGCATCTCTGATGTTTGCAAGTCAGAAAAGTTTAATTACATGTGTCATTAGGATGGCATTCGGTAATAGCTCTGTGACTGAATTCATTAACAGGATTCCTAACAGATAAGACAAGACAAATTAATATTTTGTTGCCCATGAAAGCGTCTCATTAAGAGACTGGTGAAAAAGTGATTAATATTTTGTTGCCAATCAAGATGTCTCAGACAAATGACAAAGAAAGGAGGCCCGCACCTCTTGGTGTGCCCTCATCTCCCGGCCTCAGTTCTGACTCTGATCCTCACCCCGTGGGTGGGCCCCTGTTTGTGCACCAGTCACGGAGGAGGCGGCCAGGGACTGCATTTCATCGCTCACTGCGGGGAGGGGAGCACTGGGGTTCCACAAGCTCTGGGGTGCCACCAGCCCTGGAATCTTTGCTCCACAGTGTTGCTCTCCCGGGATGGTTTCTCTGGACCAATTTTTTTGTTTTTTTGAGACAGGGTCTCATTGTGCAGTTCAGGCTGGCGTTGAGTGCATTTGTAGCCCAGGCTGGTCTGGAACTTGCAATGATTCTCCTGCCTCGGCCTCCTGAGTGCTGGGATTATTGGCTGCACCACTATACCCAGCTCTGCTGACCAATTCTTGCTACAGAAATGCCCATGAGGACAGTGTTGTCCCCGCCCTGACTCCAGGCCACAGGGGACCTCAGCATCCTATCTGCCTGCCTGGAGAGACTTCCTGGCTGCCGCTGGCTGCGCATTGGGAACGAGAGTGTGGCCTAAGAGTGGCTGCAGACACTGCATTCACCCCAGCAACCATGACAGGACATACTAAGAGCCTTAAGTGTGTGGTCTTACTGGGTCCTCACTGTTACGCTCTCCAGGAGGCAGCTGCTGGTATTTATCCCCATTTCACAGGTGAAGAGGGTGAGGCTCAGAGGGCCCAGAGGCCCTTTTGAAGATTACTCAGTCAGTAAGTGGCACAGCTGAGACCTGAAGCGAGGCCCCTCTGACCTGGAATCTGTACCCTCCCCTAGCAGACTGCAGCCTCTTCCCTGGGCTGGGAGCAGGTGTACGTGCCGCCTGCTCCTTCTTGCGTGCTCGTGTGTATTTTCAGGCTACAGACTTAACCATGGGCAGCGGTGCTTGCTAGGAGGTAATGAGGAGCCATTAATCTTTGGTCGCAGCCACAATTATCCAAATTGCTCACCTTATTGTGAAGAGCAGAAATGGGATTGTGCTGGTGCTACGGGCGGGTTTGGAGGAGGAGGCGGACTCTCAAGGTAATTTAATTACCGATGGGAAGTGCATTAGGAGGCACTTCGACTCTGCCTCCTATTTCTGGTGTCCTTAACTAGGGCACCAAGTGATGCACGTGGATACAATCCACTCGGGTTGTTACAGGGGCCCTGGCCAAGCCTGAGATCAATCACCACTGGACAGCTGCATTTGAGAGCTGACACTCCGCCTTGAGAGCTTTGGTTCACACGCATGTGGACCCCAACACACTCATGTGTGTATGCACCCACACTCACACCTCACTCTTTACAAATAGGACAGTGAGCGTAAGGTCTCAGGCAAGCATAGGTCACCTCAGGCCTGGAGGACAAGGCTTGTGCCCGCCTACTGTCTGTGTGCCAAGCACCCTTGGGTTGAGCCGCGCTGATGTCCAGGGAGGTACAGGGACTGGCTGCACACGGCACAGGCAGCGCATGGGAAGCAGCTTGCCCGGTTTGCCCCCCAGCGTGGTGTGCCCCCCAGCGTGGTGTGCCCCCCAGCATAGCTCTCTCTTCATTTTCAGCTCTCACGATCTTCAGGGTACAGTCAAAGGGTGGAAGGAATCCCAGAGTCCCACCTCTAGGGGTTTCTGTCGCTTTTTGGGCTGGGCTGCTCTCCTTCAAAGCAGTCTCAGCATTGGGATGACCTTCATGGTCAAGGGGCTTAGCTGCCTGTTCATGGCCAACAGCACCGCTGACCACAGCCCCTGCTTGAGCTTGCATGGTCCAAGTGCTGGGGGGCTCACTGCTTCCAGAAACAGCTCACTTCTCTGGGGAGCAGGATTACTGGCTGGTGTGGTGCCCATCTAGGGCTCCCAGCTGGGTCTCCCTATGGGACACGCCTTGGACTTTTGGGCTAGTCCAACCCTTAGGGACACACAGCCGGGGTCAGCTTCCTCTGCCCCCACTCCCTCGAGATGTTGCCAATGGATCTTCCTTCTGGGGGGCAAATGGCAAAAGTGGGAACATCTATGCTGTCTTGAGTCAAGGAGACCAGGGAAGTCACGTCATCTGCCTGAAAATTATATTCCTGTTATTTTAGCCCAAGTGGAACCACTGTCCCAGCAGCTCGCTGCATGGGTGACATCACTGTCCTCTCTCGTGAACTTCTCGAAGCCACATGACCCCTCGAGCCAAACCTGGACCAGTAAATACACCTGAATTATTCCGCTTCTTCGAGTCCAGGGAGGCAGGAGTTGCTAATGCTGCTTTTCTTAGAGACTGATTCACCGGGGATCGGCAGGTTAAGGTATTAGTCACCAAGTGGACGTAGGAAGGTCAGGACCCCAGCACAGCTGCCCCTGTCCTTGGAAGACAGAAGTTGCCCACTGGCCATGTTGGGCTGTCTGTACTCAGATGCTTTCTCCTGCCAAGCGGCCCCATGTAAGTGGTGGCAAACCTATGGCACGCGTGCCGTGCTGGGCTGTGTGTATCACTGACCACTCTGAAAGGTTCACCATCACACCCTCATCCCCTTGTCCAGCAGAGAACATCGCTGAGACAGGCCCTTCCCTCTGTCCCCTGCCAGTGCCACAGGCTTTCCCACACTGTCGACTCCACCTGAGTGCCAGCGTGCCCGTGACTTACGTTGATGTCCTCCAAATCTAGGAAGTTCAGGGGGAGCCCGTTGCGCTTCCAGATGATGGGTGGCCGCAGGTCTCCGCGGATGGCGCAGGTCAGAACTGTGCTTAGGCCCACAGTCACCGTGGTCACACTGACTCTGTCCTCAGGGGCGAGGCTGAGCTGAACCACCTCTGCAGAGGGAAAGGAGAAGGTATTCATTTGGGTGTGGTCCCTGGGTGGGGAGTCTTAACCCAAAGCACGGGGCCACTGATTTACCCAGAGGTGGGCAGGAAGGAGGGGCGCTCAGGCCCCTGTAAAATGTCAGATGTATGGATTAAATGCACAAATGGACACTTTTGCTGGGGGATGTGCCACCACTTGGCCTGATGCCCGACAGGCTCTGTGAATCAAAACAGGTCAGGATCCAAGGCAGATGTGCAGAGGAGCCATGTGTGCTATGGATTTGTGAGTGGAGCCGAAAATGCTGGCTGCAGGACCTCGAGGCCTTGGCACAGGGAGACCAGGGGTGTGCCGGTCTCCCAGCTCCCAGGCTAATGAAGTCAGAGCCCTGTTAAGTGCAGTCAAGGTCTGCTGGGTGAGCCGACAGGTATCTCCTCCACCTGGGGGCAATTTCAAAGGTCGCACTGTCTGTAGTCTGGGGAATGAACTGGGTGACCTTTGAAGGTTTATTTCTGTCGGGAGATTTCATTGAACTCGGAGCTGGATTTCCGTTCTGTGACCATGCACTGTGGCCTTTAATTTTTTGAAGTGTACTTCAGGCTGACCGAGTTATGAATCCTTGCCATTTCATACTCGATAATCGGTATTAAAAATGAATCATTCTTTAGGCAAATGGGCATGGACTAAAATACTTCCTGGCCACTACAGGCTTTTTGAATTCCTGGGATTCATGAAAAAATTCACCAAATTCAGGCTGCTCAAACAGTCATCAGCACCCCCTCCCTCCCAAATCTGCCCACTTAGAGATTGGGGCAGCAGCCAGGTCACATGAACTGAAGCAGGCAGGCTGGCTGCGGGGGTCTCATTGTGTGCTGGGAGCCCTGATCACCCCTAATCTGTGGGGGTACGGTCCCTGGCTGTGTACTACAGACTCTGGGACAAAGCACAGCGCCGGGAGCCCCCTGAGCTGTGAGTAGGCAGCGGAACCCCCAGGCTGCACATCTGGACATGGATTCTCCTGCCAGCCTGGGGGCCGCAGGCGAGGGCAGGAGACAACGGGCACCTCAGTTCGGGTGCAGAACAGCCACCCCTCTCCCTCACCTACCAGCACCCAGTGGCCCCGCCCCGGGCCCCCGCAGGGAGCAGGATGCACACTCGCTGCTTCCTCAGCATTGGGGGTGGGTGAGTGAGCAACAGGAAAGGTGGGAATGCAGGAGCCAGAGGCCTGGGCGATCCCGCACCGGGAAGATTCGACCCCGGGTGACAGAGCCAAGTTCAGCGCCAAGTGATGGATGCAGATGCAGCTGGCATAACGTTTCACAGACATTAAAGCGACAGACTTCAAGTTCCCTCTTAAATCACGTCCTGCCTGTGGCCTTCCTACCTCTGAGTCGCAAGCTTGCTGCTCCTGGTGGTAACTCCCAGGCTTCAGTGGGAGGGATGCAATGGTGGAAATCATTTAGCTCCCTCCATAATTTGGGGCCCGCAGGACTCCAAACCCAGCCTTGGAGAGTGCAGGGGAGGATCTGTCCTTGTTGGGTGGCTACGAGGCTTCATGCTCTGGAACCAGCCAGGGACATGGCTGTCCCCTCTTGTCCCAGGGGATTCTGGGCATGAGAAGGGAGAGTGGGTTTGTAGGTGAGGGGAGCTGGGTCTCGAGAAGGGTGCTGCGCCCCTACCCAGCTGTGTCCGGAGCTCCCGTTACTCCTGACAGCTGCCAACTGGGTGCCGAGGGACTACACTGGGTGCCAGAGTGAGGTCTTGGGCCCTGAGGGCTGCTCGAGGCGGTGGGGCATACAGGAGGTCTGGCCTGGGCGGGGAACAGCGTCAGGCTCAGGCTAACAGCTTGCCTAGGGCTGAGCTCAGCTGTGAGTGACCCCAGAAGGCCAGCCTGGAGGGCATCTGGGGCGTGGGGCAGCAGCTGGGCACATGGAGAAGCATCATGCTCAGGGGTCACTTATGTGGACTGAAAAGCTGTCACCTTGGGCCATCTTTCTCCGAGGAGAGAGCATGGAGCCGCACTGTTCTCCCCTGGATTTGCGGCTTGCACAGGAGCCAAGTTAGTTACAAAAGGGAGCTGCGGTTTCCCTGCCTCAGCATGGTCAGGCAAAGACCAATGGGGCCATCAGGGAGTGGCCCTTGGACAAGATCTGCTTCACAGGCAGGGGTCCCCAAAGCTCTGCACCACATCTATCAGAGGCCATCAGCACATGGTGCCCTGTCCCTCTGCCCAGGCTGCCACACGCCCTCATGGGGGGTGGGTCCCACAGAAGGGGAGCCTCTATTTCACAGAGGTCCTGGATTCCCTGGCCATCAGACCACCCCGTCTCAGAAGGGAGTGGCTTTCAGGCCTCACGGACCTCACAGCCTCTCAGGGTGCTTGTGAAAATCAGGAAGAGCAGTTTTAGAAGTAGGTCTGGAGGATGCTGGAGCACAGACTAAACACAAAGAAGCAAGCACCTTGAGGGGCCCCGCACATCCCTGTCACCTGCCCCTTCATTTGGAGAGACACGCTTTGCACAGGAAAAACCCGTGTGAAATTAGAATGTGTGAGTACTGACAGCGCCATCGTGATTCTGCTCCCGTCAGCTACACAAATATTAACCAAAGAGCAAATATTTGGATCATTTAAAGTTTAATTAAATGAATGTTTTATTGGATTTAATTCATGTCAATATTCCCCGGCTCCCTTTAAAATTCGGAAGAGAGTTACGGCTGCAGCGCCCCCTCCCTCCAGTCTTACTGCCCCGTTTTCCTGGACCGCAAGCCTGCCCCGCCGGCCTCCTCCCCCACAGGGCCGAGCCCAGGACTGCCAGGGAGAGCAGTACAGGAGGCTGCGTGACCGGCTGGGGCCCAAGGGCACAGGACCAGAGAAAAAGGAGGATGCTCTCAGCTCCCCTAATGGGGAATGGGAGCAAGGGAAGGGGGCTGCCGGCCTCCTGGGTCCTGAGCGGTGTCACTGGCTGAGATCTATGGTGGCAGTGGGACATGGTATCACATGCCTGGAGCCTCCGCATTTTGGGGAGCTGAGGCAGGAGGATCCTGAATTCAAGCTTATCCCTGGCTTAGTGACTTGGTGAGACCCAGTAGCAAAATTAAAAAGTTTTTTTTGAAGATTGAGGATGTAACTCGGAGTCCTTATATGCACATCATCTCTGCAAATGGAAGCCAAAGAAAGGGATCAAATCTTTCCTGAGAGCCCTGGAAAACAGAATGGTTCCTGTTTTCTGTTCTGTAACCCACCAGGCAGATTATCTTGCCTGGTCAGGGTGAGGGTGGCTGGGTGGCTGGAATGGGGTCAGATGTCTGACAGAAATATCGTGTCGGGCAGATCAACCCCTCCAACCACACCGGGCCCTTGTGTCTCCTCCCACCTTCACAACTCCTGCATCTGGGAACCTGGTGACATGCACAATCCAGTAACAGGTGACATCATGCTGCGGGGACCACGATCCCCGCCCCCCCAGAACTGGCCCTGGAATCCCCAGGGAGTGATGGGAACAGCTTTCTCAGGGATGGGAGGTGGTGTCGGTGAGGCCCAGTGGAGGGAGCCCACTGTCCTGGTGTGCTTCGTGCAGTGATAGGGAAGGGCCAGGAATGAGGGGCTGGGGCTCAGGCCATGTGTAGGGGTCACAGTTCTCCAAGCCTCATGCTTGCCCTGGCACAGTGGTATGGCAGGGGACCAGCTAAGTCCAGGCCTGGCCCTCACCCTGCTGGGGAGCTGGGAGCAGAGGGGAAGGTACGGGAGTTGCAAGCAGCTCTCTGGGCACCAGCCAGAGTAGGCTCGGCAAGAGGCTCTTCCCAGGGTGGTGGACATCGGTGGGTTTTTGGCCACTGTGAGTGGAAGTTTCTAGAGCTCTGGGGAACCAAGCAGTAAGATTAGTGCGTCACTCAGCATAATGAGGGGAGAGCCAGAGTGCTTGGCCAGAGGCAACAGTGGGTCTGGGTTTGAGGATGCGATCACAGGAGGGGCTGGCGTTCAGAGCAGACCCTCGGGATCTCTTTGTGCCCACAGGGAGACGAGGCTCCTGCTGGGAGAGGCGGCATCAGCAAGCCACTCAGGGAACAGGGAACTGGAGGGGGACTGGAGGGCGGAGGTGCTCTTAGCCCGGACACCCTCCTAACTGGAGTCACGTCTTCCAGCATCAGTGGGCTTCCTCCTGCCCCCACCCAGCCCCAGACAAGAAGGTGGAGTCTACACTGTGCTGATGTCAAGTCAGGTGGGCTCCCTGGACAGCCACCAGGTGCTGTGTCCTGCAGTGGCTGCTGGCCAGTCTGGTGGCTGACACATGCTAGGTAGGCCTGAGGCCACAGTGCCTCTCTAGGGCCCCCGACCACAGCAGCAGCATGAGGTGGTCCAGGGTTAGTCCTTGCCCTGCTGCGTGCACCCTGGAACTTGGTTGGGAGGGGCGGCTGGAGGGAACGAATGGGCTGCTGCAAGCAGGCTCACAAGCATCCCTCCTGATAGCACGAGGCCGTACAATTTTGGCTGGTGGAGAATTGGTTTCAGTTCCCATTACAGCTTTCCCTTAATCTCAGGTGCTATTTCTCACACTGACTTGAACTCGATGAGACGCTGGCAGACCCATCCGCACCCACTCAAATAGGATTCTGGTACCTCGTTACAATAGAAATTAAATTTTTTAAAATTCTTGTCAAGTCAGTGTTAGTTTTCTTATGTCAGAGAGGTACTAATGGAACACGTTCCTACCTGGACATTGTCATTTTTCAAATGATGCTCTTGCTGAAAAGACCCCGTCAAAAGCTCAATCAACCCGCCTGCACATCAGTATTTTTGACAGAGCCTTGAAGAAGCAGACCTAGGCTCAGTGGCCAGCTGGAGAATTAGGGCAAGCAGCAGGGTGACCCCAGACTGGGCACTGGAGCTGCAGCTTCTCCTGGCATGTGCCCTCCCTGGCATGAACTCCATGTGACCCTGGGCCACCGAGGAGGGTGTGACACTTCTGTGACTGACTGTTGAGCTGATATGGTTTTGCTCCTGGACCAGGGC